TGATCAACAAATTGTGCACACGGATGATCCCACGTGAAGTACAGGGAGACCAGGTGCGACACAAGATCATTGTCATGGGTGGCCTCCGTCTACGGTTTTGCCGGCACCCTGTACGGCGGGATATCACAAAGACTTTCCAGAGATATTCGTGCGTATGGATTTAATATGGCCCGTGGATATTCTATGTGACCATCATATTCTGGAGATGGGGGCACTAAATTGAGTTCTGAAGAGAGTCGGGATTTTGTCACGAACTGCTCACTTAATGGTGACCCAAGCCGATGGCTCCCATCCCTTGGCATCGTTGAATTACTGGTAGATGAGGTTTTCGAATCGGGAAAGTTTGTCACGGGACTGCTCACGGCATGAGCTATATCCTTCATCGGTACATTGTTTCTGATTATCGCAGTGACCTCGCTGAGCTGGTCTGCATTTGCCAGCCGGATTGTCGACAACAATGAATCGAACAGGTCTTTGTAATCGGATAACTCTTGTATTGTCCGCTTCACGGCTACTTTCCGTCTTAGATCGCGGCTTGGATGGAACTGACATTCTTCTTCGGAGCCAGCGTTTAAACAAGCTTTACACGGGGATGGAAGTCCTGAGCACTATATCTAACAGACAACGATTAGCCATTGATCCGAGTACCATATTTGATACCCTCAAGAGTAAACCACACAGCTTGTATTTGGTCACAGGACACTTGCCTTCCTCTTTGCTGCTTTGCAAGCTAGACAGGCCGTGGAATTTTTCTTTGGCCGGCGGGTGGCCATCGATGATTGTGCAGAGAATACGGGCAGCGGACCGGGGGCCAATTGAGGGAGCAGCTTGGAACTGTCACAATGGCTCGTATTTAGGCCCAGCGAGTGACTCGTCTCGTGGGTCAATGGTTTCTGCGCCATTGTATCTAACCCAGCTAATCGAGAATCAACATCATTTGACCCCATATGGTGATGGAGCCTGCAAGACGACAGTCAGTCTAGTGTACCGGTCGTCTTCGAAGACGCAAAGGAGCGAGACATGCTGACAGCGGACAGCACCGCATGGCACATACAGGTCGAATTCAAAATTCCAGGAACTTGCAAGGGGGCGAGGGTCATCTCATCGGTTTATTAATCATCGAGGTGCGCTTACTGGATTTTTCTCGAAGCGGGACTCGGGAAAGTAACTGGTCTGAGAGCTAGTCGAGACGATCAAAGGTGGCATGCAGATGATAATAAGCAAGAAATCTAGGGGCTCATCCTTCAGCAAACACAAGGGAGGTTTTACAGCTTTCACACAACCGGTGGCTCGGTGGCCCAGGACTGAACGTCACAATGATTAGAGAACGACGATCCAGTAGCCTGTCAATCTCGCCCCGTTGACGGTATAGAGCAAAGAGTGCTGGCGGGGTAGGTGGTGCTTCAGCGCGAGACTTGCGTCACGCAGCCGAAAACATTCCCGAAGCTGTGAGACGTACCCGCTATGTTGAAGTGGAGGTTCCAAAAACTAGCGGCACTCGACAAGGATCTCGGAAACAAGACCCACCAAATGAAAGGATGAGGTCTCGTTTAGGCCTTGGGATGATAGCCACAGTACCCACCCGGAACTCAAGGCCCCAGACTCGAGGGAAAGGTTGATGTCCTATCGCTCTACCCTGGACCCACCCCTAACGATGATCATTCCTCCGTCCTCTCGCAGGGCAGCACAGGGCACTCGAAATCTCTATTTTACAGTATCCTTCCTTTGCCTGATTTGGCATATGCATGTTTGACTTTCAGTATGAGACCTGGTCGCGCAACAAGGCTGTAGGATCTACTGCAACGCCATCTACTTGCCATTTAACCCATCCATTCCCAGACTCTCGTCAAAAAATGGCCGATCAATTTGACCGCTCAATGCACCCTAAAGTGTAGCCTCCACACGTGTGCGTCACCGTGCCACGGTTATGATGAACTGTTCGTGGCGATTCGACCAGATGCATCGCCGAGTTTGATGGATCTGCTAGCGATTGACACTGGTCGCCTGCTCTTAAACTACTCGACTCCACCCCCTGACATCAGGCTATCAAAAGTCAAAAGTACAATATTTTGGAAGTTTCAACGTAGCTGCAAGCTTGAAGCTGCTACTTGAATCATTAAAACCAGATCTGGCCCCGGGAAAGTTTTCCACCGCACAAGGTAGGTTACGAAATTTCCCATCAACCAGGTTGATAGGAACGACCACAAGTTGGCGCTCTGCTTTACAAAGTAGTACACGTGATACACGGCATGTACCGGGGAGAAACCGTACTCGGGGGTGATGCGGCATGGCAGTTTTGGTCAGTACATGGCGCCTCTATTAGGCGACAGTACAGGAGGATTTTCCTTTACGGAATCAGACCAGATCTACATCTCCGCAGCCTGTAAAGGTCTGCAATATCTGCCCCAGCAAGGATCGAACTCTCTTTCGGCGGTGGGCACTTTCCATCAATCCACTGTCGATTGGGTGGTCCACATCCGTCCAATCGGATGCGGCGTTCCGTTGATTTTTTGTCTTGGCACTTTTCTTATGCTAGCGCGCTCTACCTTAAGCAGAGCGGTAGCCCGGTAAGGGGCCGTCTTTCTATGTGTAGCAGATCCATCGTTGCTGGTCGCCATCGGCTTCTAACTTCCATCTATGTAAGCACAAAACGAATTATAATCTGGGTTCAGTCCTATCTTAGAATCTCTTGAGTCATATTAGGACTACATTCCTTGCGAACTTGATCACTAGCAATAGATAGCAGCCTATCAGTATCACAGAGCCAGGGTGAAATGAGGATAACTTCCAGAGGCGAATTAACTGATACTTCGAAATTCCATGACAGCGGAATGGCACGCACGATTGGCCGGCTTTTTCCCCCGGATTTTATAAAAGGCTACCTAGCAAATAAGCAGATAAAGCAGACACGGACCCGCTTGTTCTGATCGGGAGAAGATACCAAGGTTGTTGGCCGAACATCGGCTTGAGAAAATAAACAAAGGGCTTTGTGAAGGTTTCGAAATGTTCCACCGTCCATCAGTCGTCTTCTTCTTTCTCTTCGGGTCTTTCCATGGGGTTTCACTCGTGGTCGATTCTGGAAGATAAGGTGGCCAAGATACAACAAATCAATAAACTCATTCCTTGTAGGGGTGACCCTTCTATCCTTCTCCCACTCTCATGAGACTCCGAATCTGCATCTCCCACCTCGGTTTAATTTCCAGCATCCTTTTTGATTCATTATTCTCATTATTCCTAAGTGCTGACCTCTTCGTCATGAAAGTATGTGCAAGTGTTCGACCCGGAAAGCACATATCGTCCACAAACCAGTCTCGCATAAACTTCTCAAGACCAGCTCTGTGATAATCCGAATTGATTGATCCCTCTAGCATCACCACAGCCAGTGAATCAGTACCCAACACCTAGACATATCGGCTCAATTCGCTGCTAGCGATCCTGGCAGCAAAGAAGGCTTAGCCGGAGACAAACTCAGACGACAAGCCTCGCTGGCAGCACCAAGGTAAGCAGCCCCAATCTTCCATCCTGTATATAGTTTGCTTCTTTTTATCCCTTTTGACCACCTCCTTGGTCTCATATGATGCGAGGGACCTTTTTCCCCCTGAATTAAAGGCTGAACCGGACCTGGATTTCAAAACAGCTTCGGAGCAACCGCAGCAGACGACCAGATTGTCCCATCTGAATGTATAGAGATAGAGTTTCAGCACCACCATTCCCTTCTCATCCAGTTGCTAAGGATGATCTCGCATGGCGAAGACAAGGATGTGTCCCGCATTTTTTCCGTCATCCGCTCGGGCGCATCCCATCGCCAGATCTTTGACTTTATCAAACAACAACCCGACAACTGAACGAGATGAAATAGGCCATTTATGTCTTAAATTATGCTCTTCCCTGGGTCTATAAGAGACCATTCTGATGAGGAAAGGGGAGTTGGGGGGCGGGAGATCAAGATCAAGTGACCTTGTAGCAACCGTGGGAGCGAGATACCGCATGAGTATCATGTCAATGAGGAGCTGTCTTCGTAGCCCAAGTTTTATGTTTAATAAAGCTAATCTAAGCTTTGTTTCTTCCTTGTGTGTATCAAAAGGTGATTTCGGTGGTTTCTGATCACCTCTCTAGTATTGAGTGGAATTCCCGGATGAAAATCAGCTCCGCCTCGGTGTATGGTATGTAAGTCGTCCTGTCTCGCGTTCCTTTCCGAGCAAAATGCCAATAAAAAAAATGCCGCTCTTAAAAGCAATACCACTATCCAAAGGATAACCCCTGTCCCGACGACATGAAATGCCCTGTGTGATGAAACGCCGACCGGCTACCTGCACATTCGAGCACCGTCACTGCCAATCCACGCATTGAATATTGACTGAGAGTAAGAGAAGCAATAATAATTTGATTTCTTATTCGATACCTCTTTTCAAATAAAGACTACAAAATGTTAGAGTGGTGGATTACAGGACAACACGTACTACTAGAAAATCCGCTGTTTACTGCTATGACGCCGAGATCATCTGAGATAATAATAGCAGCAACTATCTCCAGCGCTAGGCGATATTGTCAGTATTAATGGTGTTATCGATTGAATACATTGAACAAGACTAGTGGACGGACTAATGATAATGTTTAGACGTATTAGAATTTTATGGATGTTTAGTTGTATCGATTAGTGAAAGCATAAAAGAGAGAAATAGCTTATTTATTCTAAACTCTGCTATCCTTGTCCTACTTCGCTCTCTCCCCCGACGATGTATCCCAAGTCTCAAGAGCATAGAAAGCGGCCACTACCGCAAGAGGAGTCATAAGAAACCCCACCCAAGTCATTATGGAATAAAAGGTACTACCCCAGTGCAAGCTCTCCAAAATCCCAATAATGAGCATTACCGGCCCACAAAAGGCCGCGAGGGATAGGCTTCGATTGACCTGCACATCTGAGCGAACACAAGCCGCTCGGATGACGAAGAAGACGGCAGCAACGCATGCAATAGAAGAAGTCCAAAAGCTGATCATGCCTAAGGTAGAGAGGCCCGCCACTCGACTTGGAAATCTTCGGTGACGGTTCGATACAGATACCGACCCGCTGGCTCCCCAAATATATCAATGAAATTTGTCATATTTGCCTGACGCAGGTCGCGTCCTTGGCCTAGCTGCCATAGATCGGAGATAGATTTCGCGGATTCGGAGGAGGCATCGTGTTTGTAAATAAGGAGATCGGCCAAATAAGCCCTGACTTGATTGGGCCCGGCGCCCCATAATGGAAGTTGAGCCATGAAGGAGGTGGATGATTTGTTCCGTGAGTGAGCTTGGGCAATGGCGTCTGGCTCGAAGTGCTTGGCAATTTGACAATCACTACTCTGCGTTGGAAGGATGGAAGTGATTATCTTATGTACATGAAGAGGCTGGGAAGGAGGTAGCTATTAATAAAAGCTGTGTGTGGCTTAGACTAGTTGTGGGATCCTGTAGGCGGTGTATGATCGGACACGCATTACCCAACTTGTAATGCTCGTATGTGGTCAAAATCACAAGATAGAAGAAGTCTGAGATTCTGAGTATGATCTAGCTATCCATTTTATAATACAAAACATATAGTAAGCAAAATCAACGCACAATGCCAAGAATATCAAAAAACAAAAGCAGTTTAGTGCTGTACAACACTTTTATTCATGGATTCACCATGCTGGCATCCCGACACTAGTTTCTAAAGGTGCAGGGATTCAGTAATTAGTGGACTGTCCATCAACTACGGCTCGTTTTCATTGCGATGAGCATGACGAATGGTTTGCTGAACTTAGCACTAGTTTTAAACAATATTAATTACTCCTTACATAATTGTAACTCGGAAATGGCTAGCTAGCTAATTAGTAATATAAAAAATCAATAACGTAATCCACGGCCGAGCTGGCCACCCACCCCCATTGCAAAATTTCAAAATTAATCATCTCAGCCAACACCCATTGATTTAACTAGATAATACGATTTTTACATGAAGTAATCCTATGTCCTGTCACTCCACATCCACTACAGGTAGGAGGAGCCCTCCTAGCCGGTTGAATCGGCTGATTAGGCAGGTCGACCTGTTCATGCGATACTACCTCATCAGCTTCTTTAGGCTCATTTAGCTTTTGAACTAGCTGTAGGCCCTCTTCGATCGATAGGCCCTCTTCGCGAGCGATCTGCCTAGTCGAACGAGTGCGCTTTTGACGTTTCTTTTCATTCGCTGCGCGAAGGTTCGTATTATCCTGCGCTAGTAATGCAGCGCCATGTAACGATAGATAGGCGCCCTTGATAATCTGATCAAGTATGAGTTTTGATGGTGTAGGCGGGCTATGCGATCGCTGTCTTAGAAGCTCTTTAAGCATAGAAGCTTGCTTTTCTAGCTGAATCGCTGTTCTAGGCGTTTTTGGTGTGAATTGGCTAGATCTGCTGCTTGGTCGGCTTGATGGTGGTGAAGGCGTTCGGAGAGAAATATTAAGCTTCGAAAGCACTCTATCAGCATTAACTGGTATAATACCAGTAGCTGCGAAGCTGCTTTGAATAATATTCGGCTGAAAAGCTTCTACCCTTGCGCGTGGATAGTCTGCAAGAAAATCAAGCTTATCGATATGATTATAGCCAGTACGGGCTAAATCGCTCACAAAGCTACCGTAGACACGCTTTAGTACTGCAAAGCACCCAACATCAAGTGGTTGAAGTAAGTGTGATGAATGTGAAGGCATGCAGACTGGTATAATATCATTTTCAGTACAGATTCGATCGAATTGAGGTGTAAGATGGCTACCGTGTCCGTCAAGGATCAATAGCCGAAATCGCCCTCGTATACGTGAATTAGTATACGGAATGAAAATCTTTTGGAGCCAGCGAAGGCCGATTTCATCAGTAGTCCAGCCATTATCCGATACTTCGATTCGCCAATCCCTAGGAAGATTTGATGATTCAAACCAACCAGTGATATAAACCTGGCCTTTGAATATAATGCAGGGCGGCAGCGAATAGCCATCAGCGCATATCGTTTCGATTGCAGTAACCCATTCACGATTTCCTGGCTGTAGAATTGATCGCCGACCGTAGTATTCTGCTCGTGTAACCACCTTTTGCGATGATATAAGGCCCATCGCGAATCCAGTCTCATCAAAGTTGTAGATATCCTCCGGTTGGATACCGTTCTCATCAATCACACGTTGCACTGTCAAAAACCACTCTTTTATAGACTTTGGATCCTCGTTAAGAGCACGCTGGTAGTCATATCGCTTTGAAAAGCGTGATCGAAGCTCATCGCGCCGTTTCACAAAGGTTGATACCCAATTAACACCAAGAGTTAATGGGGGGGTTGTTCCACGCGCTTTAAGAAGAATATTAGCCATCTTTCGTACAGTAGAAGGCCTTGGCGCTGCTCCACGCGAATCCATAGAGATAATCCACTCAGTAAGCGAATCCTCTTCATATGGAGTTAACTTATAGCCATTTGGGCGTGTATCAGCGCGTGAGACTGTGCCATGGGCACGCGTCTGTAAGGTAGAACGCGGTATAGCATAGAGCTTCGCTGCTGCGCGAATAGATTTGATACGGCCATTTTTTATATCATCAAGGGCTAATAGGATCTTGCCCTCCTGATTGGCCGTGTGGCCAGCTCGGCCGTGGATTACGTTATAGATATTTAGGTAGGCGCAATGATACAACATTCTTTTTCCGATCTCCCTCAGACGTTTTAGCGGATAATATCGGCGTTATAGCAGTAAACAGTGGATTTTCTAGTGCTATTAGTCGTCTTGTAATCCGCCACTCTAACAGTTTATAATCTTTGTTTCAAAACAGCTTTCGAATAAGAAATCAATCGATTATTGTTTGTGCTACTCTTAGGTGATATTCAATATGTGGATTGGCAGTGACGGTGCTCGAATTTGCAAATACCTGCTGGGCGTTTCATCACATAGGGCATTTCATATCCCCGGGATGGTGGTTAACAGTGAACCATTCCGGTTTTCCTGGCTCCGGTTCATTGTAACAACCTTGCCCGAGAATCACAATTTATGAAATATGAGAAAATCTTGCATCATACACAGCGAGAAGTTTTCTGACTACGCTGCTATTTAAAAATTTCCCCCGTTTTATTTCGAAATATGAATTGTGGTGACACTGCCTGATGCGTAGATTGTAGAGTGAGAAAGGAGACCTGAATGGAAAGGAGATCCCAACGTTGTCTGCAAGTGAGCGGAAGTGCAGGAAATGCATATTCGGAGTCCAAATAGGAACTTTTGAAGGACAACAAAGAATATGTGTACTCTAATAGGAGTATACCACCTCATCTCCCTAGATCGTAAAAGCAAGGTGAGAACGGCGTGTTTTCCGCAGATTTGGGCCGGTATAGTGAAAGTCGAAAACATACCCTCCGACACACGCCGTGCTTCACCGTCCGTGCCTGAACCACGTTAAACCGCGTCAGGTTCTCACTAAAACCAAATTACTGTTGAAACGTATCATAACTCCAACGTATTAATTTCAGCGATGAATAGAGTAATTGTAAAATACTGTAAAAACCTTCGCAGACTTTAAACATGGTTGGAAGTAACGCTGAGAGATCTGGCAATCTAGCAAAATCGCCGCCGAGCTGAGTTTCCCTTCATCCATTGACAGGCACGTCGACCCTTAAAGTCGCGTTAACTTCCCAGAGAAGTTCCCTGGAAGGATGCTCTTATTCTTCACGCCGACTATTGCTCACTGATAGCTCCGGTGCTCTCTCCCTTTGACTGACATACGACCTAGCCGTGTCTGGATTATTTGGTGACGCGAGCCCGCGCCATGTCAAGTTTACACCTTCATAAGTCAGCATTGAGCACCAATCACCAGTGAGAAGAAAACTTGTTTCTGCCTGGTGCAACACCACTGCGTCATTGTTCCTGAATCACCGGGGATAGTAGGTATGTTTCCTGGCCCCGCTTCGTTTCCGCAAATTTCATGAAAGTTAACAGCACTATTCCGTCTACTCTTACAGCACGATTTGCTCTATTGCTGAGGCTTACTCTACGGCGATCTCTTTTTGGAATCTTCCTTATATATATCTTGCTCTGTGTCAGTAATTGGGCTCGCCGATAGCCCCATTTATTTATTTCTTCTTGTCTTTCCATCTCAATCCAGGTATGTTCATTTGAAGAGATCTTCTATTTCTTGTTACACTATTGAAGTCCGCATATAAGCTAACCGCTTTGATTCACAATAGGTCTCCCTGAGTTATCGAGATTAACGCGACGCAATAACCGCTACAGCCACCCAACTGGATCGTCTGCTAGCCTCTCTAGCCAAAGCCAGCATGAACACCACTTGCTCAATGTATTGTCGCCGGTGCCTAAAGAATTATAGTCAAACGATGCTCGCACATACTCAGTCTCAGATTTCAATTCTGGTTGGACTAGATGAGTATTCCAAAATGACCAACAAGGACGTAGGTCGTGTAACCTCCAGCGATGTGCCACACCATCAGCACCCTGATCCTCAGAATACAGACATGATAGAAGAAGACAGAGACTCATTACTAAGGAAATAGATTGTTCTCAATTTTTAGCTATACAGCTTCTGTTCTGCTAGTCCAATGCAGTGATTAATGTATCGGTGCACCTGGTCAAAAGCGAAAATTTGTAAATTCTGCTCTTCCATGACCAGTTTCCTCTGCTGATCCCAAAACAGTTGCATTTGGATGGAAATTTCATGTAATATACAGAGCTCACACGTGGCACGGTCGTTATAGAGGAAAATGTATCAATTACTTAGAAAATGCTCGTTGTTACCTGAGCCAGCAGCACTTTAGCGTAGTTTCGGCACATCCTGAGAAACATGGCATGTGAGCGTCCGCGGGGAATCTGTTTTAGACTTTCACTGTATGAAATCATGGAGGGGCTCTTAATCTGAGATGAAATTTCTGGAGGCAACTCTGCGCGACCCGGACGTCCATCCATGGCTAAAACAGCTTCTTGCACTGAGGCTATATAACAGGAAAGATACCCTAAGTTACCTTGAACCTTGTGATGGCTTCTCATTCATGATGAGCAAGGTAGAGGCCTGAGTTCTGATCCATGCCATTGGAACAATGGGTCTGATCTGTACGACATACTTTCTGGGTGCAAATCCCAAAAGTCGCTGGGTGAACCAGACCAAGCTTGTAGCGCTGTAGACAACGTGCTATTAGCTGCGACAAAGTAGCTAACCAGGTCATAAGTGTCTCGTAAACCTTTCATCGTCATGTTCGCGCGGTTTGCATCCCGGGAATATCTCATTTGTTGTTTGAAAGCAGCATGAATCGCTCGAAAGCTCCCTGGATGTTTAGAGTCTGCCAGGAATGCGGCTTGAGTTTCTTCTTCGCTGAAATGCTTCCTTTCTATGAACCATGATGGTAAGCATTCCAGGTCTTGAGCAACCCATCGGCGATTTCGAGATCTGGATTTTTCGCTGTCAGATCTAGTCAGTTGTATGGCATGGATTGTGTTACTTACTCGATTGAGGTCTTTTCGTAACCTGGGTCTGCATCGGTGCGATAGTCATTATCATGGCTTTTGTTTCGCTCTCCATAAAAGTGGTCAGAACATGTAGTCCCTGGGTCAGTGATTATGGCATCCATCCATCAGATTGATTCCGCCGGGATATTTAAAGACATCATATCCGGTTGACATTTTTCAGGCGCCGTGATACCTTGAAGGTGAGACTCGTGTTGTTCTCTGGAAATATGATCAATGCCATTTTCGCGGGAGTTGGCGCGTGTCGGCCATTCCCATCCGATAGATTGGTATTTTCTCTGGTCGCGGAAACCTTTGTCGCCGTATTGTTATGATTTGCCATATATACGGCTTTCGAATCTAAGAGCGCAGGCCTTATAGTCAATGGACCCTTTTGAACCCGCTTATTCCACATCATGCCATTGAGGGAATCTTCGGCATTGAGCCCTATCTCATGAGAGTAGCCCAGTAGTTCGAACCATACACTTACACATTTACTCTTTGCTCCCTGGAGAGACTTCCTGCGGTTCCCAGTGCCCTCGCCGGTGCTTTCATGCAGATAAGTATGGCGGAAATTCTCTGTCTATGGATAGAGATTCTCCAGTCAAGGCCTTGGCTGGCCACTGAGGCTCTGGTTTTGCTCAGGAGCCCTCGTGGGGATCGAAAAAGGTGGACCTGGGCGGGTCACTTGCCGAAAGAATGGGCGATATAGCTTTTGCTTGTGTCGCATTCCCAAGTAGGCTCTTCCGAACAATTTATGCGCCATTCTTCTCGAAGCCGGCATTGCCTTCCTCTGGTATAGTAGCCGTCTGATAAGCTTTTCGAGAAGCCTACTTCGGCATTTCCTCCTGGACCACGTTAGATGCGATCCTTTGAGCTCCTTTAGGAATGAATAGGAATGAACACGCTGTCCCGACTAGACTTCTTCTGTTGGTAGCTTCCACCTATCCTGAATCTTGATTATGCTGGCTCTGCCCTAAAATCAGGCTTGGTGGGTCTCTATCAGAAGGTGCTCTTTTAAAGGATCGTGGAGCACTCAAGCTCGCCGACGAGCTTTTCCGATTATCTTGTTGTTGACTTCCATGACTATAATTCAGGAACTTGCCAGTCAGTAAAGGCACAATTATTTCCAATGCCAGATAAGACCTGAGCTAACTCACCTTTTGATGCAAGCTGATTCGAGATAGCAGCCATTTCAGTCATGAAAGACAGTGTATATAACTCTGTTTGGATGTAGTACCAAGGTTGAGCCAATTTCTGTGGTAGTCCGGAAAGAATCATATTATGACGGATATCGGACAGCTCGGCAATTGCTTTGAAGTCATCCAGATAATTATGATAGACCTCGGCTTCTTTGTATTCGATCATGTTTCTGCATGCAGTCATAACATCCAGCCAAGTGATTGACGTCCGCGTCGTGCCATTTTCGAGCTGGGTGATTTTTGGGCTTCGAGAACCAAAAATGACATCTATTCCTTTCATAAGATTGATACTGATCATTGGGGCGCTGAAGATAGCCGCGAAGCTCGTGTTTCTTCGGAATATATTCAACAGTTCCTGCAATGCTTCCAAGGCCAAGCAAAGTCTTTCTTGTCGCGGTTGAAAATGTTCCAGGAGAGTTTCTCTAATCCTCATATAATCGCCACCTTGGCGGTGATCTAGCCCTTGGTCCTTCTCGGAAGCCATAGAATCAATTTTGCGACCGATAGACTCTTTACGGTCACGGTTAGCTTTGATCTCGTGCTGACCGTTGTCCTCTTATAGAAAGTAATTGAGATCAACAAGTACAGGTGCTCGTAAATCGAGACTTTCTGCCTGCCTCGTGACGCCAGGGAAGATGTGGTGGGTATGAAACGGAAATAAAATGGTCTTTTGTCAGAACTCAAGTTTCCTGAAGAGTGGGACACTTATAGCCCATAAATCTTCCTTAACGGAAGAGAGCCGGCTTTGAAAAGCATAGGAATGCGCAGGCCAGTATATTTGACATGGCTCCGCCGGCGCCATAGTCTCAACGGTGGCAGCACGATTAGATCGGTTTGCTGATGATGAAGCATCACCGAAATCAACGTTTACACATCGATGTCACTGGTGGAAGCTTTTATGCACATCACGCTCTAGAAATTATGAATGTCAATATTTTCTGGGAGGTTCTGCTGCCCTGGGCTCGTGACATCAATTGGGTCTCATTGTGGAGATAGACTGCACCTCCTGTCGCACTGTGAAAGCATTGTCTTTGCATTAGATATAGGATCATCGAGGAATGTGACGTAGATCTGATCGTCTGTTTGAGTCTGTTTAAGCGTACGTCCACATGTGTGAGATACTCCTAAAATACTGTGTTCAAACGGAGTAGCCCACTTTCCCACAAACGTTTCGGAGCCTACAAGCATCGAGGTCAATTAAGAAAAAGTAAATGGGAAGTCCAATTTTTAGACTAAATAGGGGCTTCTTTTGCTTGGGGTTGTCACGTTCAGGTACATCGCAATTCAATGATTTCCCGAACATAAAATCGAACCGGTCCATGAGCCGCACCTCACGAGAACTCAATCTGCAAGAATTGTTCCACCTCCGAAATCAGGTCTTCTCGATACATTCCACGAGTCTTCCTATCACTTCCGGAAGTGTGAGCAATCGGTGGTTCGGTGGTTCACGGAGAGGTGATTTAGGCGAAGAAGCTTGAAAAGGAGTAGCTTGCTGTGACTGCCTTTGCTTTATGCTTGGTTTGGGAAGGGTTTTCTGTAGGAATCGGAGGAGACCACATAGCTTCTCCGCGCCAGGACTCTCGCCGATGCAAAGGCAAAATTCGATGGCGGCATAAACCATCTCAAGCAGACTATCTCTGTCTTGGGTCAAGCGATGAACAGCGGCGTGGCGGATGCTCGCGATGGAATGGCGCAGGTTCTGAACAGGGGTGATATTTGCACAGCATTGCTCAGACGAGATCTTCGATCGGTTCTTAGCTAAAAGCTTAAAGAATTTATGCAGCTCCAGCGCCTCGGGGCATGTCCAGCCAACAGCCAAAGACTGTGGTAGAAGCCATTTTTGAACAAATTGGAAGGCGGAATGCTCGAGGTGACGTTGTAGAGTTTGGAGGATCACATGCTGCGCTCGAAAAGGGATAGGAATCAAAGGCAGTCCTAGCATGGGGAACAGAATCTCTATGAACTCTATCACCGTAATTAGCGAAGGCACTCCGACCTTTAGCTTTAGCTTACCCTTAGCTTTCAATCCCCGGCAATGTTCCAAAAAGCGTTTCAAAGACCTGCGACAGTCAATTATGGAATTATCCAATTTCGAGAAAACCCCGAGGTGATTTACCGGTAGCTGATTGATTGTCGAGTCGATAAATGCTGGGCAGCAGCGGAGTCTCCATTGGGGCTGGAGGAAACCATGTTCCGACGGCGGAGGCGGCGTCGACATCTCTTCATCGATGGTACCTTTTCGGCCGGTTTGTAGGTGTAGGCACACGAGAAACCCTGGTCATCCTGTGCTGGCAGGTGAAATAAAGATTTGGGCGGCATGTGGCCTTGCAGTGACCGCGACTTGCGGCGGAATATATGACGGCCAGGCTAATGGAATGAATGGATGGGGGAAAGCAGTTTTTCTCAGGGAGGCGAGGGCAAAAGGTTTGCAGACAGAATTTTCAGTGGGCAGGCAAGCGATTTGCCAAGGCGAGTCTTCCATGGAACGCTTCTACATATTAGCTGCGTGAAAGCTGTTTCACCTCGTTGCGCAACGTTGAGACCGATGATTTGCAAATTGATTGGCTACGGTGCGAGCGAATATTGGCAGACTTCTGAAGCTACGGAGATTAAGCTGCCACGGCGAGTGGCCCATGGAATGCCACTTCGATCTACACCTCATACCAACTGCGCTAAAGGCCGTTTGACCTAGGTCAATCAACGTTGATGAGGCAAATAATTTGTCACGCATAGCTTCGTGCCAACCACGGCTCCAGGTGGATCCAGCCACTCCACCCGCTCTCCAGCCCGGACGCTTGAAATTTCTTATTTCAACGTTGAATCAACCGCCTCAACACCCAGCAAAATTGCGGTCGCCCGGTGTGAATTTCGAGCGGAAATCTCTGGGTACGGCACGATGTACGCAAATGGTCGCTGCCGAAAAACGTACTCGAAATGGCATAAAAGACGCTCTATTCCAACCATTGCTACAGACGATGATGATGATGATGATTTCATTTACCCTGACCCTTCGCCTCGACGGCGATATGCAGGCTACAACTACTTTCTAAGTACATCTTGATTGATCCCTGGGATTGTTCCAAACTTCCTGACGGTGAACTTTGAGCCTCACCTGGTAAAGCTTGTCGTGGCCTCGTTGCCTTTTGCGCTATTAGGCTGCCCTCATGGCGCGGCTAGGATGAGTTCCCGGACGAGGCGGCCAACAGTTGTCCGCAGCTGGCTGCATCTCCACCAGAAATCGCGAGAATGCTGGTAATGCTGAGTTCAAGAACCTGGACAACGATTGTGCGGCGGACGTGGTTTTTTGGCGTTTCTTCTTTCTTTTCTCAAGCTCAAATGGTGACGGTTTGTTGTGAAAACGGCGGCGAAGTTCTTCGATTATAAGTGGGTGATTGGGAGGTGTAGGTTGAGGTCTAGTCGTTGGTGGCGGTGAAGATGTGGTAGGTTGCTGGAGAACAGAGGCGTAGGTTTGTTTCTGGGATGTGGGGGGAGATGTGGTTCTCAGGGTGGGTTGGATAGGTTGTGGAGGAACGGTGGTTGGTCGCGGTGCTAGCGGTACTGATTCGAGCCTGGCGGGTGGTAACTCGGCAGAAGTCTCGAGGTCGGGGTCCGCTTGATTCACGATTGTGTGAGCTGTTGGTGTCGGGTAAGTTTTGGGTTGAGAGCTAGATTCGACAGCGGAGAACTGGCTAGATGGGTTTGCGGAGGGCGTGTGGGAGTGAGGAGGCGGAGAAGGTAGAAACGGTTTAAGGTCATGGCAAATAACTTGCCATAGGCAGTCTTCTTTGTGTATTTTCGATACATCGCCAGTGGGGTTTTCCTGGATGGCATCCAGCGGGACCGCAGCCTCACAGGCAAAGCAGCAAGCGATGTCGCCTACTCCGGCGCGGACTTGGTGATAGAGACCATTCTGAGCAAGCTGGTGGGGCGTGATACCAGTGAGGAGCTGACGTTGAAACGAGATAGCTCTGGCTGCGATGTTTGAGTAGGTGGTTGAGATGCGGAAGAGGAGCTTCACGTTGCGGTGTGGGGCGGTTCAGGTGGGGGCTGTGGGGTTTGAGGTTGCGAACGGGCTGGGGATGATTTGGAACGGTTTCTGGTTCCCATCAGGGCCTGGTGGTTGGGGCTCCATCCTTCCTCTTTTCTCATCCCGTGGGTACTCATTGCTACAGACGATGATGATGATGATGATGATGATGATGATGATTTCATTTACCCTGACCCCTCACCTTAACGGTGATATGCAGGCTACCTCAACTATATATATCCCTGTCCGTACATGTAGATTGTCCCACTTCCTGACAACGAACTTAGAGCCTCGTCACGGCCTGCCGTGGCCTAATTGCCGCTTCCACTGTTAGGCTGCCCTAGTGGCGCGCGACTGCGAAACCGTTGTGACGCCTCGGCGAAGTCCAATACGGCCTGGACCGTCTTCGCCCTCGAGACGGTGTCTGGTTTACCTTGCTCACCTTGTTTTGAGCCTCCCAGCAGACTCGACACGCTGTTGAACGCGTCCCCCACTTTCTGTCTCAGTTCCCTTCGTAGATCCTTCAAGATTGGGCAATCTACCAGGACATGGGTCACTGTTTCTTGCGCGCCGCACACGCACTGATCGTCTTCGCGGAACCGAAAGAGCTTAGCGTAGGTGGATAGCCAGTTATGGCCCGTGCGTAGCTGAGTCAACAAGTATGCCTGGCCCCTGGCCAGGTTTCCGTACAACTTCCTGGTGTATGCCGACGGAAGAGTGTTATCGATCTTCCTCAGATGGCCGCCTTTATTGGTTGATCTCCACTCATGTTCCCACTGGGCGATGATATTACTACGAATGGACGCCTTTTCTCTTGTGAGCAGCGGCCGGAAGGAGTGTGATTTGCCTGGGCTGGCAGCCTCCTTCGCCAATCGATCTGCGGCTTCATTGCCTGGGTTATCACAATGCCCTGGCACCCACTGCAGGCGTAGTGTAACGCCTGCGGCTTGGACCTCAGTGGCGGCGTGGTGGATCGCATGAACAATCCGTTGTCCTGACTTCTTTTTTACGTTCTGGATCGCTTGTAACGCTGACTTGCTGTCGCAGAGGATTGTCGCGGTTGTCTCTCGATCTCCCGCCCCATCTCGCTGGTGTGCTATTTTGAAGATCATATTGATCGCATAAAAGACGCCAATCAGCTCCGCCACGTGAACTGACCAGCGGTCCATCGGTCCCACCTGGACTTGCTGTGATTCGACTACCTCCAAGTTGTTGTCTATTGTTACGGCGGCTGCTCCCAGCTGGCCATCACGACCGGACGCATCCGAGTAGACGACTATGTCCGATTTTGATCGGATGGCGTCGGCGCGTTGTCTCGCTGCCTCTCGGTCTAAGCCAACCTCGACCTCTGTGAAAGGGTCGAGGCGCCACGGGGGTAGTGGTCGTGGGTCAATTGTTTCCACTTCGCTCAATCTCTCGACGCTCATGGTCTTCAGTGCTTCCGCCAAGGGGAAGCGTGCATACGATCCAGTGTTGTTTCTACGTCGGTGGGCTCGTGTGAGTGTGTGCCAGATCGGATGGTCCCGTGGTAGTGTGTGAAGACTGGCGATGGTGCGCTGGGCTCGGTGTCGAAGGCGAAGATGGGTGGGAAGAATGTGTGCTTCTACTTCCATGGTTGTTGTAGCCACCGTTCGGAACGCCGATAGGATGCGGATCAGCGAGCTTCTCTGTACTGTGTTCAGGTGTCGCAGATGGGTCTTGTCTCTTAACGGGTCGTACCATACGGTTGACGCGTAGTCGACGACCGGCGTGACGCATGCCTGATAAAGCTGTCGCATCTGTTCGGGCCGCAAGTGACACAACCCGCATAGAGCAATAGTGGTTTTGGTTGCGCGCTTTATAGCCTGTTGTACGTGTTCCTTCTACCGTAGCTCCTGGTCAAAAACCACGCCTAGCAGCTTCGCTGTAGGTGAGGGCGCCACAGTTGTTCCGTTCACAACGATCTGGCCTTGCCGGTGGTCTCCTTTCTTCCGGGTGAGGTGGATGAGCTCGGTCTTTTCTGCGGCGAAGCAGGACCCGGTCCGGCGCGCCCAGGCTTCAATACGTGGAATATCTTCGGACTGTAGTTTGGCTAAGTTTTCTTCAGCCGACTGGCCCACTCGCCAGCGGAAGTAGTCATCGATGAACGCCGAGGCGCCCCCGTCACGGTTGACCGGTTGGTTGACAAGCTCAGCGTTAAAGAATGCAAATAGGATGGGCGATAGGGGCGACCCTTGCGCAAGCCTAGCGTTGGCTAGCGGTGCGTTCACAGTACGATAGTCGTCAAATCCTATGCTAGCGTGGCGGTCTACCATAAAGCTTGCAATCCATTTGCGGGCTATGGCTGGGATCCTTCTGGCTTGTAGAGCGGTGTCTAGACTCGTCTTGTTGACTCCGTTGAAGGCTCCTTTTAGGTCGAATGAGACGAGGGTTACTACTTTGTGCTTGTACCAGGCCTGGTCGATCGCGTTTGAAAGCACGAGCAGGGCTTGTTCTGTGGTTCTTCCTGGGCGGCCACCAAATTGTGTGTCCGGTAGCAACCTATGCTTTTCTGCAAGATGTGAAAGTCGTTTGGCAATGACGGCTTCTAGGAGCTTGCCTAGTGTATTGAGGAGTGAGATTGGGCGATAGGCACCAGGAATCGAGTAGTCTGGTTTCCTGGGCTTCCTTAGTACCACAATCTTCGCGCTCCGCCACTGTTTCGGGTGGTATCCTAGGTTTACTGACGCATTGAACATCCTGGTGATGACACTTCCAAGGTATGTCTATAGCCGTTTCCATACCACTATTGGTAGGTTGTCTTCTCCGGGCGCGGTGGCTCCTTTGGCAGTCTGAAGAGATCTTTGAACCTCCAGTTCCGTGATCGGCTGCCACGGGAGTTCCACCGTTGCCGCTGTTGACATTTCGGCCGCTGGCGTGTTTATTTCAGGAAAGAAGGAGTCCAGGAAGGCCTGCGCTTTTTCCTCATTCTCGGTGACTTCGTGGTCGTTCACTTTTAAGGCTGGGATACCACCCCAGCTGTCTCGCGGTTTCATGTAGGTAGCAGCTTTCTAGAGTTTTCCTTCCCCTGCTTTGTCTAGGAATTCTTTCCAACATGATGCTTTGGCTTTCTCAATAGTCCGAGTCCATTTCCGTCGACTTTCTTGCATCTGTTGGAAAGCAGTGATGGTGCTGGGGTGTTCGCACCCGAGTATTGCGCAGCTTTGTTGCCATTTCCGACGTACCTTGTTGACATTGGTCTGTTGGTATTTGAGGTCTGGCGTAAACCACCGCTTGGAATAAGGAGTTGGGCGTGTGTCGGGTGTGTGCCGGTTTACGACTTCCGTTGTGGCGTCTATGAGTTTCTGGACCGTGCCGTCGAGGGTTGGTCGAGTTTTGATTTCTTTCCATGGCCCAATCTGCTCCTGTATTTTATGGCCAATTTTTGTCCAATCCGCACGGGTGTAGGCCTTTCTTTTACGAATTGAGTTCCGTTGGGTTTGGAGATTCCACTCCGAATACGTGGCCTGATGGTCAGACCCGTAGTTTTCGTGGTAGAGGTGGCATTTGACTAGACGATCTGGGCAATCTGTCACTGTTTGGTCGATTGTGGAGTTTCTCCCTGGGCGATTCAGGGACCAGTAGGTCACCGTCCCTCTTGGGAGACAGCCATGTAGTCTGTTAGTTTGTAAAAAGTTAACCAGGTCGATTGCGTCCTCAATGAACCGCGGCGGGATATGGTTGCCTCCCCAGGTCGGGTGGTGGCGGTTGAAGTCTCCAGCGAGGATGACGCTTGTTGACCTTTGACCATCCTGGGTAGCGTTTGAAATTGTGTTTTGAATTGCTGTGAGCGCTGGCTCTGCTGATGTATTATCCGAAGCGAAGAGCGGGACGGGTGGGATATACACCGAAAATATTAGTGTCTGGGATTCAGCTGTCCAGATCTTAATAGCAGTGATGTCGGGGTGGTCGCATGCGATTTGACGGTGCGAGGAGGTAGATAGGTTTCGGTTCACGTAGATGAGGCTCCGGAACCGGGTCTTATCTGTTTCGGTGGTGGGTCGGTAGAGACGCCAAGAACTGTGGCTGACATATGTTCGGTAGGAAGTGATAGATGGTTCCTGGATTAGGAGTATATCCAAGTCCTGGCTTTGGTGGTCGTTGATGAGGGCCTCCATCCTCGGGCCAGATTTCATCATATTCAACTGTAGTATTCGTAGGTTTGTCTCTAGCATTGGCGGGGGTTGAAAGTTGCGGGGCTCGGGCATTGTCGGTCACCAGTGGTATGTTCACCACTGCAGTCGAGGCACCGGGCTCGAACTCCTGGTGGGCATCGTTGGCGTTCATGTTGGCCAGCACAGTGACCACAGCGTGGTGTTTCTTTGCACGACCACGCCAGGTGTCCAAAATGTTGGCACCGGAAGCACCTCTTTTTCTTGATTTCACGGCGTTCCACACTGCCGATTTGTCTTTGTCCAACAAGGAGGCCGTTATTAAGGATATATTCGGCTCCTTCTGCAGAGTCGAACCAGATGCCGAGAGATGCAAATTTCCCTAGTACCTTGTCCTTCCGTTTGAGCTAGGCTAGTTCTTCGATGTGGAAGCTATGTTCTGCCAAGTCGTTTTCTTCTATAACTTTTTGAACGGCCTGAGTGCCTGCGTTCTCTAAGTCGAAGTCCTCTGTCGGAGTCCGGTGTACGACTACCCTAAATCGTGGTTTAACTAGTTTCGTGTCGTTTCCTAGCTCGTTCAACCATTCAGTGTTGTTGCGGGCTGCCTCGGCTGAGTCTGAGTTTTTGAAGCGAATCAAATATCCCGTTTTAGTTGTGCTAATGCCGGCCACTTGGGTATCTTGAGTCGAAGGAGCGCTCAACAGCGCTGAACGGATATAGGTGTTAGCAGAGTTGGTAGACAGGTATCGCCCGAAGGTGTCCCCTTCACTGTTCTCATTGTCTCTCGGGTCTACAAATGATCTCTGTGTGCTGATGCGGACGCAGTTCAGGTCCTTTTCTGGTCGTCGGGGGCTTAGCTGCGGGTCACTTGTACCACTAGCTGCGATCGCTGCCCATGTTCTAGGCGGGTTTGGCTGTGGGCTGGCTTCGATTTGTGCTCTTAAGGCTCTGACTTCTTTATGGAGCTTATCGTTCTGCTCTCGGAGGACGTTCTGGTCGTGCTTGACCTCTTCGAGGTCAGCTTTGGTAGACTCGATAAGTGTGGTTTGGCGGTGGATAATGTCCTTGAGGCTGTCGATAAGCTTCCACACTTCTCGGGTTGTGATCCGGCCTGTGCCCTCGGTGGGCGTGTAGGCTTCACCATTTCTCGTTCTTTTCCCTATGATCTGGGCTGGGTCGATCGATACTCGAGGCTGGAAATCCTCAACTGAGAAACTGGTGATGCTTCCTTGGGTGTTTGTGGGAAGGGGTTCGGGCCCTCCCGCGGGTGGGTCCGCCATCGGTCCGGGGTTAGCTCCCGCTCGGTACACAACCACAACAGTTTTATATTGAATATAATATCAACCAACACCCCGCCTGTGTCTAGTAGTTCTTTCAATAGTGTACCTCTGCAATTCGTACAGTCCAATCGGCCAATTATCCCGTCTTACAGTATGTCCCGAAACCGGTGCAACCGCCTACACTCTTGAAGTGATTATTTAGCCCCACCGCCAAGAAGCACTAGACCATATTAGGAATAAAATCGGAATAACAATATTCCTGTACCTTTCTCGATACCGTGATTTACTTTCATTAAAATACGTTTCCTCGTCTTGTGACTGTATTGGCGATCTGTCACTTCCCTTCTGCTCCTGTGTCTAAGTCGGTCTGAGGGGCTTGGCACACGACCTGCAAATAGTGACTTGTATTACAGCGCGTCCCGAAACTGGTGCATTTATCTACACTCTCAGGGTGATTCTCCAGTCCCATTGCCAAGAGATACTAGTCTATATTAGAAATAGCCGCGGAATATCAAATTCCAGAAGAAGTGTTAATACCGTCTCTTACCTCAATAAAATCACGTCTGTTGTCTCATCACTGTATTAGCTATCCAAAGAAATAGAATTTTCTATGGGAATGCAAACGTGTCAAAAAGGCAGATATTGAAGGTCGACGATGAGACCTGAATCGTCTTTTTGGTGATATACGATCGTTGAGATTAAAAAGCCATGCTAGAATTTATCCCAGCTTCAACATCCGTGACCTACATGCGTTGATTGGTTTGAGATAATAGCCTTACTAGCACGATAGTCCCAAAAATAAAAGCAATCACTTAAATGAGATAAAAAGAAGTTATGAACTTGGTCATTTGACCATGTATGTATATCCTTCGAAAGGGAGACGCTCTAACCCATATCTGTTACAATTTATATGCCAGGCAATGTAGCCATGCTTGTAAGCAGTCCAGAGTTGCGCGGCTAATTGGACCTCCTCATGAACTTGGCTCTGTTTTTTTTTAGCACATCTGCTGGCATCGTTTGTGTGCGCTGAGAGGCCAAGCATCTCAGTCATGATGCACTGCGTGAAAGCCTTATCCAATGCGAGAGTTGTTCGTTGCATTTCTGAGATCGTTTCATACAATGTGTCGCGGAACGTCCACAGCCCGGAATACTTGGATTTGAAAATTGTTGGCCTGCCGGCTTGCCGCTTGGTCTTTGTCTTCATAGAGAGATAATTCCACGACTCTCCAGCAAGAACCTCCTTAGGGCAAGATAACAAATCATTCATATGGTTGATGAACTTGCTAATAGCAGGTATGACTGAAGTCCAAAAATGCGCGGGCACTTCCTTTTGTCGGGATATTTTGAAAATTGGGACCAGATATAGCAGAGGCGCGGCACTTGAGGAACGAAAATAGTCGGGAAATCCTTCGACAGAACAATCTTCAGAATTCAAATGTGAAGGCCCATGGTCGAGGATATGAAGTGGTAATTCATGCTCTAGACGGGTTTCCTGGGCACATGCATCCACAAACGAACAGTAGCTCCTCGCGGTCAGACTGCCAATAAGTGGGTCTTGTGAGCCGAAATACTCGGCACACATTTTGAGGCCCTTAGAGAGAACTGTATGCCAACGGCTCTCTTCCGGCAATATTTGATAATGGTTGAAAGAGAAGTAGGATAGGCTACGGCGCTCTTCTGGATTCAGAATTGAATTGTCGTCAGAGGCCACAAAGATACTAGTGATAATAGCCATGATAAGCTTAGTCTCATGCTGGCAAAGGGGATAGAAATACTCGGCACATTCCGCAGAGCATTCCAAGATAGAATGAAGGACTTTTTCTTTGTCTGGAAAAAGAGGTGCCAGATGCTCATTAGAACAATCTTGGATCTCATAGCGAAGTAGCTCGTCGGTTGGTTCAACGCGGTGCTGATAGTCCAAGTCCTCCAGCAACAGATATAGGATTTTGCGTATGCCTTCCGATATCTTGCCTTTTTCTTGATCGCTCAATGAGTTAACATCATGGAAATCTAAACACTCGAATTCTCCGTCGGAAATAGCAGCAAAAAAGTCGACTTTCATTTCAACAAAAGATCAAATAGATTATGTGTTGTTAGGAGACCGAGGAAATGTTTTTTTCCAACTAGGACTGTTTTGAGGGTTATCATTGCTGAGATTTGGAGATATATATAATGCTCCTAAATATGTACATACCTGATACTAGATTGCAGTGGGGAATTGTACTCGCACGGTAGAGTACCTGTCAATCATGTGAGAAGATGAAAGATGAAGACCAAGTTGTATCCAAGACAGAGAGGGACCTGCAGAGATCTTATACACATAATATGCTTTGAATCAAACAAGGAAGGAAACGATAGATATATCAGTCGTGCAGGGTCCCATGTCGTGTAACCAGACCCGCTGGCAATTCTTGACGTGTCCTCAACTCACTGGTCAATATAACCAGCAGTGTCACCAGATTCACGAGCAACCTTTGACCGACATTGTCCCGATCGATCGGGCGTTCAACCCTGGGCAAGGTTTTTACGCGTTGCCGACTGGTCACTATGAGTGGAGTTTGGCGCCATGCTCGTAGCATGGTTTTCAAGGTAGGGTATGGAGTTATAAGGTGTATTAAACTTACAAGCGAATACATCCTATTCTCCTACCAGGTGCTCAATGTAAGAAACGGTACAATACCAACGGGCAGGGGTGCTACGGAAAAATTCCCAATACGTACTAGTGCGAATTAGTAATCAGCGTTAGAAACAGGTGAAGAGTGTAGGTTGTTGCACCGGTTTCGGGACGTACTGTAACTCTGCTTCACCGAAAGCTACAATCCAAAAAAAACTGATACGCTATGCAATAGTCAACTTCGTATTGCGTATCCATGACCCATAAAATTAGAAGTTGTTATTGTTAGAGGATGAATTGCGTTTGAATGAAGAGTTTCAAATGTAGGAGATTAAAAAGAGAAGTCTATGAAGGAAGCATCAAAACCTATTCAGAAAATTCTTTACCGCGCGTATATTAAATCATTATTCAGTAGTAGCGAGAGATTATTGTTTTGAGCGCTTGATACAGTAGGTCTTTATATCCCTTCTCTTCTCTCATGCAATTCTGAAAACTGAATATCTCTATAATAATGATGCGGAATAAACTCTCCGAACTCTCAATCCCCGTAAGAATTGTTCGTGCAATCTCCAGGGTTACGTTACATCCAACGTCCCTTCCCTCGTCATATCGTGATAATATAGCAGAGGAGCTATATTCGATGCGAACTGTTAAATTCAGTTCTATATTACGCAGAAGTCGGACTCATAACCAGTTGAACTGCTTGTCTCATCTTCCTGTAGATCGCAACAAGAATAAAGGTGCAATTTGAATCGACCAAAATATTGACAAAATAGTTTAACTGCACACTGTCGAAAGCATAAGGTGCTAAGTATCAAGAAGTACATCTTTTCTGGACCTATGCTGACGAATTTGGGTGTGGCATATTAATTGAGGACTAGAGAAAATCCCGTGTGGTGCGGTAGTTCAACAACTTCACACTCGGTAGAAACGCCGGGTCATGGTTCCCTGGAAGTTTCCATACCGTATTACTCACTGAACTAGACTGTACTTGAAGATTGAGTACACATAGCTTCACCGTTTGCCCGGGGCTCATTATGGTCGTAACATTCTGCATTATGATACTTGCGCCTGTATATCACCAGTAGTCAGTTCGATATAGTTAACTGAAGCTTCCTTTTCCCCGTAGTCTTTACCAAGAGAACCTTCCTGCACGCCTATTGACATGAGATGTTGTATCGTTGGGCTTGATGTAGGTATGAAAGACATAAATTCCCTAGATGGATATTATTCCTCTCCTTATAAGCTTGAAAAGGGGTGTTTTAGCACTCACTAAACTACCGCTCGTCAAATAGAGCCAAAGGGCAATGAACGAGAAGGCAAGGACGACTCTCCACTCGCGACAACCGACTCCGTTCACATAAACTGTCGGGATATATCCCTCTATCAGAACAAGCCAGCGTCTGATAGATCACATTTCTGCGTATGTAACCTTGCGCTAAGCTGCGGTTCCGGCTTATGGGATTCAGGGGTATTTCGAACCTGAACCGGGGCACACATCTATCATATACACGAATCAATCAACCTTTGCTTTAGAAGCATAAACTGTTCACTTAACTGTGTACACAGGACCTAGCTGGTGATACCAACATAAACTGTTCCGATGGGGCCAGTATGCCATAATCGGCCCCAGTAGTATCCCCAATAGTTGTAGTACCAAGAAGAAGAGCATGTACTAGTGCCCGTTTTCTACTTGCCTCGCATTGTTTAGCTGGCCCTTTGTTTTCGTCCGACTGGCATACCGGACTGGAAAAGCATACCGTCTCGAGGAGGCAGAATGCCACGAGCCACATAATAAAGAGGACAAAATCGAATGGGAAGCCAAGGAAAAGATTGTTGAATGGTAGGCAAACGGCGAGTGAATATATTATGCCAATTGCTGAAGTGACCATAGTATAAACAATGCGTCCATCGACGGACACATCGGCAGTATTGATGACGTAGCAAAATCGACTGAGAATCCCGAGAACAACGACACCACATACCAATTCTCCAAAACGAAGAAAAGCGGAAAATATCCTATGGGTAGTACCTTTAAGCTCCATTTTCAAGTTTTTGCAAACAATTCGCGAGACCAACGTCAATCTGTGTTAATATGAATTCAAAGATTGGATATTCGTTTTGCTTTGGAAGCTGGTTTGGCGGGGAAGTGAGGACCAAAGTGATCGTTCCCCTCAAGAATTGCTCACTTACACTCGCTCGGCTCTAGTTTCACACTTAACAGGAGGGTTCAATGGCTTGCCCGAAGGTTCTAATCCATCGTTCCACCGTCGCTTACCAGCATATTTGCATGTGAACGGCCCAGACCTTAACCCGTAGACATTCTACAATCTCTCGGGCGGGTTGAAGCGCTCCAACCCTTGACCGAAGAGCTAGTTGAAGTTAATTATCCACCCCCGGTTCATGAAGGAACTAGAGCCAAGCTTTTATTGTATAAAAATAAGGGTAAAGTCTTCAAAAGACTATATATTCGTGTGTGGGGCGAAGGTATGGTTTAAGTTCTCACTTTGGGTTTCTAGGACGAGAATACTTTCAATAGATTCATTGTGTAAAATGTTCACCTTCCAAAAGGCCCCTCTACCTTCGATGATCGTGCCCAGTCTATGAAAAGAGAGAAAATTGAGGAGAGAGCGTGATATGCTAGTGTAACGGATAAGCCCCGAATTGCTGGTGGAACGTGATAAGGTTTCTCTTTCCTGTCATGTCCCACACCCATGCTGATGGGAATCCATTGCATGTGATAACGCCTTTCTTTTTGCACAATGACCCGATGACTTTGGGACAAAAAGCTACATAATCATATGTTTACAGAGATATACTGATACCCCAAGAATCGGTATGTTGACGCGGCGCGTGGAGGCGGCCGGTTCATTCGGATAGTGGGATATTCGCCACCGCATCTAGACCGGCCAACCCGTCTCGGCGACCAGGAGCTATGTCTAAATCATCACTGCAAAAAAGTGTATTGACGCAACTATATCGAGCATTCAGTGGCAACTCCTCTCCCCCTCGGCGATATACCCATTCACTTACATAGTGGAATCGATGGAGAACAGTGACACAACGTAGGTCTCAATTAAAGCATCCCCTACGCTGAAGTGGTACTGTATGATAACCTGATCGACTAAGAAAATATAATAATATGCTACATAAGCATTTCTTCGTAATCACTATTTAGATTCACTGAGGCTAGCGAGAAAAAGCTGGGTAGGGCAATAGATCCCATGACACAGTCCACATACTCTCCAGACCCACGCGAAATTCACTTTCTACTGCCACAATTTTTGAATAGACCTGAAGCTACTGTCTACAGTACAAGCAAAGCAAAGAAGCCGTTAATCGAGAAATTGTGACATATAGTTTTAAATAAAGTTTATCGTCTTGACGAATGGTGGCGAGATGCGTGAACACTTAGGATCATAATTTTCCACACCCGCCCCCATCTCAATATTGCATGACAACCCTGAACTGCTTATTATCTGAAACGGAATAACTCACTCAATATCCTCTATAATGGTATTGCGAGGAGAGCTCTTGGACACATTTGACTATGATATGGTCGATATTTTCAATGAGTTCGAGGATGCCGTTCATCACAAATCTCCGGCAAAAGTAGCCACGGAGTTCCCCTCTTTGGAATGGCTGAGAAATGGGAATCCACCTTGGATGGGTCATGGGGATAAGCTTATCGGCATCGTAGATATAGGAAGGCAAGTCAAAGAAACATGCGGCGTTCGAGAACATGGTTGTTAACGCTTGCTTTATGATGTTAGCAACGGAATTCGGTTTTCAATATCCGACCTTTCTCCACCTTTGGCACGCATTATTCCTACCGTCTTAGTACATCGATCATCAATCTCGCTATACGATGCACAGTTCCACCCTAAGACAGGGCAGCAAATTCCTATCCCAGACCATGTCATAACAATAGTTTCCGAAACTCTCCGGCAATTCGTCGTCATCTGCGATGACATTGGAGTGCATAGAGACCAAATTCATTTCATCGCCACTGAAGCAACACGCATAGCCAAAAACTCAGCTCAGTTGCTCCAGGCGATCAAGGCCGAAACCACTATAGATGTTGAGCTGCTTGAAAAGGAGGAAGAGGGACAAATTGGCACATTAGGCATCGCTAGTGGGTTCATGGCAATGAAAGGGCTGGTTGCCGATCTTGGTGGTGGCAGCATTCAGATATCTTGGATTGTTAGCCAGCGAGGATACATCAGAACAAGCACCCAAGGAAGCTTCAGCTTTCCGTATGGCGCGGCAGCCTTGACTAAGAAGTTGGAGGACCTCCAAAAAGGAAAAAGCAAAGATGGAGCTAAGTACTCCATTCAATTGTTCCGGGAGAGGATGGTAACCAACTTCAGAGATGCCTACAGTCGGCTCGAAATTCCAGACACCCTCGTCGAAGAGGCAGAGCGAGATGGAGGCTTCCGGATGTACTTATCCGGGGGCGGCTTTCGGGGATGGGGCTATTTGCTCCTGAATCTGAGTCAGTCACATGGGAACCACTATCCAATATCGATCATCAATGGTTATACTGCCGGAAGGGACCAGTTTGAGGACACAAAAACCATTGAATATGCGGCGAAGGCAGCCCATGAAATCTTCAGAGTTTCCGACCGGCGACGCTCTCAAGTACCTGCAGTGGCATTTCTCATTAATGCTCTTGCGGAGGCTATTCCTCTTGGCATTAAGGAGGCACACTTCTGCCAGGGCGGCGTGAGGGAGGGTTATTTGTTTCGACAGCTCTCGTCATCAATTCGGAAGCAAGCTCCACTCGAGGTTGCGACCCGGAACTTTGCGCCTGGGTCTATGCGACGGCTACAGGAACTCATTGAGAGCGCCATACCAAATCCTTCGACGGACGGGATCAGGAGGTTTCCTCCGGACTTTGGGGATCATGTCATTAAAGCGTTTGCCAATGTCATGTACGTCCATATGTTCATGTCGAAAGAGACAGCCTCAACCACCGCATTATATTCTACAAGTACAGGGATTCTGTCTTCAACACATGGAGTCTCTCATCAGGATCGTTCTAGGCTTGCATTGATGCTACAGGCGAGATATCGCGGCGAGCTGCCCCCGCGGGAGGTTGAATTTCGGGATGCTCTCCGCAGTATTATCAGCCCCGAGGATGTCTGGTGGGCTCAATACCTTGGTCGTGTTGGCTTTCTTATCACGTGTCTGTACCCTGGTGGCAAAATTGATACTTCTAAACCAGTTGTGCTATTTTCCTCGGAGTGGTCTTGGAATTTAGGCAAAAAGAAGAACAAAGAAGGTCTCATACTGAGGATCACCCTACAGAAGGTCCAAGAAGATCCAGCAAGATTTGAAAGAGTCTTAAGAAACAACATCAAAAAGGTCATGAAAGCGGGGAAAAAGAAGAATTGGGCTTATCTGGAGAAATCTTGGGGCATGAAGGTTGATGTCAAAGTGGCGGAAGAAGGTATATTCATTGACTCAACATGAGACACAGTTCAACAAAGGACAGAATGCTCTCCTATATGTTCGCGTTTGAAACACAGTTTGAATGACAATAAGTCCCTAATCGATGTGCTACATGTAACTACACAATATATCACTCCAATCGGAGTTAAGCCCTTTTAAACCCCGACTATGCCGCATTAGTGTATACAGCCTTCATCTTTGCTGCAGGCTTCACGTAGGGTGCTACGATGGGAGCATCAGCTAGCTGAAAGACACAGGCACTACCAACTGACTAGTCTAAATGCATTGCGACTGATTGGCCGCTGTGGAGTTTTGGTGATCATACTGGACCCGCAAACAAATCTTGACTGCCTATAAACAGCCTCATGACAACCGACCAAGCCGATGCATCCACAGCATCGAGCGGAAAAGGCCTTAGCTTACTCCATGCAGAACCCACATACGGATCTGAATATATCATGAAACTGATGATCATTTCCCCAAAAACGAGAGCTGATTGTCCACCCGACGACGTGGAGATGAGCTGAAAGAGATGGGATTTGACCTATCCGGTGCCAAATCTGGGCCCATAGAAGACAACATCACTGATCTGGTTGGCATTGTCCACAAACGGCAAGAAGAGAGCTAGAGCAAGTTTTTGAGGGTCAAAGTAGGCGATAAAGGGATTGTCCTACGAGACTATACAGGCAAGATCATCGACTGGGTGGGAAATTCCGGTGATATTGCTGTTCAATTTGCGCCACCGCAAGCTGCTATCCCCTGGGCTGTCATCAAATCCGTCATGCAGGTATTTTCCCGATTTGCAAACTTTTCATCTTACAATGGCTAACTCCCTGGTGCTAGGTACCAGTTATCGAGGGTGAGCAAATGGCTGCTCTCCTTGCAACTACCGAGAAGGCCGTAAGCATCATCAGCCGTGGTCAAGTGTATGAGTCTGTGTATTTGAAGAACGCACCTGCCGACACCCTGTCCAAGAACCTTGAATCTGCATTGATCACGATCTATAAGACCGCACTGGCTCTCTTATATGAATCTGGAAATTTGTTTGCTGAAACCACAACAAAGCGTGTCCTTCAATCTCTTCTCAAGCCAGGTCATGTTTCTGGAGGGCTTGAGGGAATGGCAAGCAGGAAGATGACTTGCTGCGTACTGTGTTCGCGTGCGAATCTTACGCAGTGACAACGCTGATAATAGCATTCTCGGAAAAATTGATTCTTTGGATATCCCGATAATGGGTGGACGAGGGGATCCAACACCTCCTTCAGCAAATGGACCAAGAGCGTTATATTGAGATGCTGGAATGGATTTCGCCGGTTCCTTTCGGCAAGAACCACAATCACTCCAAGAAAAATAAAGCGCCAGGCACATGTGAATGGATTTTCGAGGATTCAAATTCCATCAATTGGGTGCAGGGTGACTCCTCCATCTTTTGGGCTCAAGGCTCCCAGGAACAGGAAAAACCTACCTTACCTCCACTGTCGTTGATCATATTCAGAGTCAACTGAGTACTTCGCAGAAAACTGTTGGTATCACCAGCTAGGTCCTGTGTACACAGTTAAGTGAACAGTTTATGCTTCTAAAGCAAATGTTGATTGATTCGTGTATGATAGATGTGTCTCCGGTCAAGGCCAAATACCCCTGAATCCATGCGGCGGGAGCCGCAGCTTAGCAAGATTACGTACAACATGTCTTTGCTTATTCTGACAGGAGGGTATATCCCGACAAATTTAAAGATACAATCGTCGGTAGAAGTTGTATACGCTCTTTGGCTACGGACGTACCGCTCCTTTCGCAATTTTGCGGCCGCTCAAGGGGTACCAAAGTTGCCAGATAGAACCTCAAAAATTTAATTAAGAAGCCCATCAAAGAGCCGCTGAAAAAAAAAAAGATTCACAGACCCCAAAAGCGGTGTTTCTAGTCACAACAGCTTTTAATTACCGGTCGTTTGAGGTCACTCAACAGGATCTTCCCAGGTAACCACAAACGTTTCCCACAATGCCTTGCTGATAGATTCTGGTTTTCTCGTCTATCAAGAGAAGTCTTTAAGATTTAGCGGGGCTCCTGCTGAGAAAAAATCAAGATTTTTCAGTCATAATACAATATGCTGTCATCCCAGCTATCGGCAGTATATCAAGCCTCTGATTTGAGAGATTGAGTGTCCGAACTTGAAACAGTCATCCTCCGAAGCTTGAGACGGCCAAACTCTGAGTGACTATGCTACTCACTTACTGCATTTTCTTTTTTGGTGCAGCTACAGCAACTCTCGGACAAACAGTCAGCCTCTTACTGCCAGGATTTCAAGGGCGTGAATTGGAGGCGAGCATATTATCAACCGTATGTGAGGAAATGCCAAAATATTGGAAATCAAGACTCTGAATTAACCTTTTTACTATATTCTAGGATGATGAGACGACAACATTCCTTGTGACTTGCCCTCAAACCGTCGCTGCATCTGACTGCGGCGTTTCCGAAGCAGGAATGACGGCTATCCTTAAGAAGAACTCCGTAGAGCTGGTGGATGTCAACAAAAAGAATAGGTTGGTACCCCGTATGCATGCAAAGTACTTTTGATACAAATGGATTATTGCAGTACCGCGTCCCTGTCGTGTCATATTACCGGAACAACGTACGCATCCTGCTATGCTACCAACAAGATTTCGGTTCAAGCCACACTAGCTCGAAAAGACCTCAACTGGATGGCAATACCAGTTGTGACCACAATATCAAATGCACCAGGCGCACTAAGCCCCTCAGTCTCCCTCCAGCAAGTTATGGCCACGTCTTCCATGAAGCTGCCATCAGGCACAGAAACTGCTGCTACACCGGCGGCTGAGAGCCAAGGAACATTTAGGTTCAAGACCTCATGGGGCTTATGCGGCATAATGGGTTCGATTATGGCTGGAACTCTGGGGTATATCTTGCTTTTTTCATTGCTGGGATGGTAATTTCAATCCTTTCAGTGACCAAAGTCTGGTAATTAACTGCTCAGATTCGCTTGAAAGATACAGTACCTGTAGCTCGTTTTCCTTTTTTGATACCAGTACCATTTCATATCAATCATCTTGTATAAATGATACATAACCAGTCTATCTTATACAGAATGAATTGTGTCACATATAGATACTCAGATAATCAGGAAAACAAAATAAGCTACTGTATCTAGTGAGGGCCATTTCCTGCCCAACAGAATTCACTCTTTTCTGCGTAAAGATGCGGAAAGTTATATTAACTTCTTTCAGATCGATGAAGCTAGAATAATTTTGATGGAGATCTCATTGATTTAATTTTTCCTTTTTTGTGTGACAGAGCCAGAGAGGTGGATATCCAAGTTCATCATCATGGAGCGAACGTAAAGAGATGTCCCCAATATGGCTCTTCTGGGACTCATAGCACTCGCCCACGTACGAACTTTGTATCTGCAATATTTTGAAATGTTTTCGATGAACCTTTCTCATCTCAAAAATAAAGTCCCTGGACAGAACTGCTGCGGTCTGCTGGTTGTTATGTATCGCAGCGCTAGAAATGATAGATTTTGAGAACAAAGAAAAAGGTGGATTTGGCTTCGAGAAAATTGAGCTCCGGAGGAAATACAGCTGAGCTTTGAACTTTTGAACGAGGCACTTGATCCATCGGTATTCTGCTCCGAAGGAAACGCGAGACAGACCGACTGACCATCCATTGGGATGAAATTGACTTCGATTTGAGTGTTCAGCTCGATATTGCATAGAAGATTGGAGACGATCATCTGATATTGAAAAATGAGAAAGGAACCAAAACTTTCTCTATTAGATACATGGCCTGGACGACGAAGACAGATCCTCGCTCACATCATACTCATGCGGCATCACTCGCTCCCACGATTGCCACAAGACCAAATACTGTATGACTGAGATTCCATCTTCGGGGATCAAGCGAGAGGCAATGGCGCTAATCGGTATCTTTTTGCCGACCTAGTTGCTCCAGTCAGCTCGACAACCCAAAGTAATCCCATGGACACACTTACGGTGCTCGATGTATCATGACCATCCATGGCGTGGTGGATGCAGGGAATACTAGATTCCAGCGACTCGTTTTCTGAATTCGTGGCATCATCGCTCCCTGATGCCACAAATCTGCGATCCTCACTTGTTTCCGAAATGTCACCTTCTGTAGATGTAGAATCGTCATCCGTTTCTTCAATATCGAGGTCTCCGTAACCGGATAGAACCTCGAAGAGGTCGTTGTCACTTTCTCCTGCTTTTTCTGACATCTGTGAAATGATGTGGCACAAGTGACTAGAAACTTTAAGCAGTGCAAAGATCATCTCAATTTATATGTAGAATCATGGGCGGACAGTGTTCGGTAGCTTGGGGTTGAAACTATGTGATGACGGGTGAGGCACATATTGCAAAGTTTTAAGAATAAACAAACATTATTCGCATTGGCCTGCTTTGTGCACGCGTCCAAGTCGGAAATTCTGCGATATGTTGGCAGGGACCATAACTGGGCATTAAGATGGTTGACTCGTCGGGAATTGATTCAGGGAACGAAGGGGGGGATTGCTCGCCCCACCGGATGCCCCTGGCTGGCCCAGGTGAAGCGTGACAAAAAATTTGCCTCGTCAACGTTGGTGACGCAGGTGAAACGTGTTCCACCGCGGTCGGTCCGCAGAGTCGGCCAGAAACAGCGTGTCGTGGACTCATCTCATCAAGATGATTTGAACTTACTTGATGCACTCCCAATTCTGGAACGATGTTAATGCTTGTTGACAACTTGGGTGTCACTGTTGCGTAATGTTGATCGACGATGCGGAATCGTCGCAAGGCTACGACTGAAGACATCCGTATATGATCAAAGGCCTTGTATCATCTTTGAAGCCAGACGGCGATGGCCAGATCTGTGGCAAGGCCCAGGATGATACATATGTCTAGGTGGAAGGGATGGCGCAATCAGCTGCACGATTGGTGGTGGTTGATCATCGTTCTCCCATCAAGACCCTTTGCTTGATTCTATCTTGATATCATGACGTTGGTTACCGTTTCCAGCTGGCCATGGATTACTGTACTAGACTATGCGCTAGAGTCACTGACGGGCGGAATATAAAAAGTCGACAAAGAGCCTAGATTCTCAGGGATACCTCCACTGCAAAAGGATGGCTGACCGCATAGATATTGACTCTAGCGACAATAGCTGCGAAATGACTGACGCGAATCAGCAGCTTGAACGCGAACTCCTTCAGTGCCAGCAAAGATCATCTCTAGCCGCTGTGCATTCGCGGCGTATTGTCTCGCTCGGGATTTCCCCTTGTTGTGATATGAGGCTGGTGCAGATCAGGAACCAAGCCGAACCATCGGAATTAATCCCGATGTATCTATACGAAGAATCAAGTTGATTGGAAATCAACTTGCTCTTCTCGTTGTATATATAGCCTAATGTTTCCCTTTGAACAATAAGATAATTCATACCTCTGAACTACAACAGGTTATGAGCCCGGCAGCAACTCTCAGGTGCCGTCTCTACTCATCGGAGAATCATCTTGATTATCTTAACTATATATCTACCCCGCTTTCACAGCCATCTTCATGTCTGCTCTGGTTCACGACTCGCCCGACCGAGCCGTCACAGCCATCGAGCCTCTGACAGGAAGTGACAACTTCGCGACCTGGAAACGTCTCATGACCTCCTACCTCAAAGCGAGGCAGGTCTGGGATGTCGTATCGGGCGATCTTGAGCGTCCTAACTGCTCATTCAAGTACGCCAAACCCATTACGGCGGACATCCACCCGTTGGTGGAACCGCACCTCAACGGGGCGGTGAGGCAACGCGCGATTGAGGCGCGCCTCGAAGTGGAGGTCCAGGCATTCGAGCGCCATCGTCTGCAAGAAAAGCGGCCATGTAGTTGCGGAGTGCTGGAAGAAGCAGCGCGAACAACAGCCGCCCAGGGACCATGCCCTGAAGGCGGAACGGAGTGTTTCCGGCTCACCAAGAAACAATCTACAAAACATACCATCAAGCCAGATGGAAGATCGGCAGGGCCCGCCGACTTCCAAGAGACCGCGGATCAATATCGTGAGGCCGAGGGTGACGACCCTTTATACCCACGCACCGTCACCCCGGTGGATCCTGGACTCGGCCGCCACCAGCCACATCTGCTGGGACCGCAGCTGCTTCAGCAGTCTTCGGCCTCATCGTAGGATGTTGGACACGGCGAACGATCCAGTGGAAGCCGAAGGGATTGGTACGGTGAAGCTCACGCTCCGGGGGAAGTTCAACCAACCCCTGGTGTTAAAGAATGTATACTTCGCGCCACGCGTTGGGATGAACCTGATCAGCGTGCCGAAGCTGTTGCGAGACCGCTATTCGGCGGTGGCGCACCCGCAGAACGTCTTTGTGCAACGCCGAGGACGGACGGTGGGGACCGCCTACGATACGGAGGAGGATCTACTGATCCTGCGGTGCCATGTGAGCAAGAGATCCCGAGAGCGAGTCCAACTGGCGAGGGCGCCGGCGACTCATGACCATGCAGATTCCCTTGAACCGCAGGCGGTGGCCATGGACGTCGACGACCCTCGGGAGTCAAGTGACGTAGAATGTACAGCGTCAACCTCTGAACTCGGTGGTGAAGCACGGATACTCGAAGCAGATGCGGGCACAGGAGTGGACCAGGCCTCCGAAGCGTTGTGGCACGCTCGGATGGGACATCTGAACCGGGGCGACTTAAGGGTGGTCCTCCGGCAGACTGGCACTCCGTACCGACCGCTGACGCCGGCGCAGCTGCTGGCAACGCCGCAGTGCGCAGCATGCATGTCGGGTAAGCAGCATCAGAAGAGAAACTCCCGCGCAAGACGGCCACGTCTGCATTCAACGAGAATTTTCGAGTTGATCCATTCGGACATCATGGAGATGCCGGTCGCCAAAGATTGCTCCAGGTACGTGATCACCTTTACTGACGACTATTCTCGAGGCTCGTGGGCCTATGCCATGAGATGGAAGCATGAAGCGCTCCAGAAGTTCCAGAACTTCGAGGCCTGGGTGCACCGACAGTTCGGCGCCTGGATAAAAAGGTTCCTCACCGACAACGGGAGAGAATATTTGCCCATTGGAACACATCTCGAATCCCAGGGAGTTGAGTTTGACACCTCGCCGCCCTACTGCAAAGGGCAGAATGGACTGGCCGAGCGTACCAATCGCACTATCCGGGAGCGGATCAACACGCTCCTGTCCGATGCAAGCCTTCCTCCTTCCTGGTGGATCGAGCTGGTAGACACAGTCGTCTAACTGAAGCTGCGCGCTCCAGCTTCAATCCTTCAGAAAAAGACCCCGTACGAAATTATTTATGGGAAGCCGCCATCGCTGTTACATCTACGACGGATTGGCTCCTGTGCATGGGTCTTAATTCCAAAAGAGCATCGAGCGAAACTCGGACCGAGATCATCCGAGTGCCGACTACTAGGTTATTGTGAACCGAATCAGTATAAGCTCTATGAAATCCATTCTGGAAAGACGGTCTTCTCCCGTGATGTCGAGTTCGACGAGAGGACCCCGGTGGCGCCACTCGTCGAGGGGGAAACAGGCAACGACCTCCCGGACAACGCTCCTCCATCGCCCGTCTTTCCGACAGTGCCGATAAGTTCAGCCAGCGGGCTGCCCACACCACCTGCTTCGCCATTGCCTTCGTCAGCTGAGCGAGAGAAAACGCCATCTGAGCGTGAAGAGGAGACACCTCCAGCAGTTAATCCAAGCCAACAGGGAACTGACCTGACACAGGATCTTGGATATTCGTTGTATGGCCGCAGAAGAAGGCCTTCACGAAGGTTGCTGGAATCACTCGGCAAGGTGTATACGGCAGGCGCATTGAATACTGCATCTGTGAGCAAAGCCGACCCGTCGACTTTCCACGAGGCCGTGTCGGGCTCGAATCAACTGGAATGGTGGGCAGCCATCCAGAAAGAATATTCGTCTCTTCTGGAACACGGAACATGGGAAAAGGTTCTGCGAACAGACGTACCAGCCGGAGATCATGTGATAGGCTGTAAATGGGTCTTCAAGACTAAAGCCAACGGAACCCGCAAAGCTCGATTGGTCATCAAGGGCTACCGACAGAAACACGGTATCGATTATCATGAAACATTTGCAGCTGTGTCACGAATGGACTCGGTCCGCTGCATTGTCGCCAGCGCAGTGCTACGCGGATGGAAACTCCACCAATTCGATGCTGTCACTGCATTCCTGCATGGCGATGTTGACTCCTCCATTTGCATGGATTTGCCCGAAGGCTTCGAAGAGCCAGGATATGTTTGTCGGCTTCGCCGCTCCCTGTATGGCCTCAAGCAGGCCCCGCGGATTTGGTATCAATGCGTCCACCGCGTCCTGGCCACCCACGGCTTCACTATGGCCCAATCGGACAACTGTGTATTCTACAAATCCAATTGCGTGGTCTGTGTTTACGTCGATGACTTTCTCGTTGCTGCGGCAAACCCACGCGAAATAGAACTAGTGCAACAAGCATTGCAAACAGAGTTCCAATTGAATGACCTGGGCACCCCGCGTTCGTTCCTCGGGATCCAGTTCGACTATCACGTCGATGGGTCCGTGTCCATTCACCAACACCAGTACATCCAGAAGGTTCTTTCCGACTTTGGCATGGAGACTTGTCAGCCGAAGTCTACGCCGATGAATCCCAAGCAAACCCTGAATCATCGTCCAGACGAGGCACTTCTGGACGAGGAAGCAAAAGCTCGTTATGCGACTGCCATCGGTTCGTTGATGTATCTGATGGTTGGCACGCGACCGGATATTGCGTTTGCACTGGGCATGTTGAGTCGCTTCACGTCTCAGCCGCAATCTCACCATCAAGTTGCTCTGCAGCGATTGCTTCGCTACATCCAAGCCACACAGTCTCATCGTATCACCTACCGCAGTGGACAGCTAATCGGGTATACAGACGCCGACTTCGGGGGCTCTGTCATTACTGACGGTGCATACTCGACGTCTGGCTATGTATTCCAGCTTGCAGGGGCGCCAGTTTCCTGGTCGTCCAAAAGACAGGGGAAGTGGCCACGTCTACGACTCATGCCGAGTACATTGGACAGTACAGTGCCATTCTGCATCTGCAGTGGCTTCGCACTTTTCTGGCCGAAACGCGGCTGTACCGGTCTCCGGTCACTAACATCATGGCTGACAACCAGTCCGCCATTGCGCTTTCTCGCAATCCCGAGTTCCACAAACGGACGAAGCACTTCAATGTGAAATTTCACTATCAGCGAGCGGTGCTGGATGCATGCGAGATTCAGCTTCAACATATTCAAACTGGGGAACAGGCCGCGGACGGTCTCACCAAACCATTGGGACCTATGGCCTTTGCCAAGTTTTGTAGTCTCTTAGGCGTCGATGCCTTAGAGACCTCGAGTCACGCGTGACAGCGCAGGCGCTCTTTCCACTTTATTTTCCCAACGTGGGTTTTGAGTGGTTTTACTGAGGCCTGACTGCTCTGCGCGAGTCCAGTATCGCCCTGCTAGCAAAGCGATTCTGAGGGGGAATGTTGTGATATGAGGCTGGTGCAGATCAGGAACCAAGCCGAACCATCGGAATTAATCCCGAAGTATGTATACGAAGAACCAAGTTGATTGGAAATAAACTTGATCTTCTCGCCGTATATATAGCCTCATCTTTCCCACTAGAATGATAAAAGAAACAATTCATACCTCTGAACTACAACAAGTTGATAGGCACCATCTGTAGCTCGTAATCGGCATGTCCAACTCAGTTCAACATTTCCCATGAAGCTGGCACTGTCAATAGAAAATAGAAGTTGGAAAGACACTTGGCTCGCAATACCTAACTAGGTGTAAATTCTCCCTGTAGCTTACGTATATAATATACCAATAGCTTGCACAGTAGGTAGAGATATCCTACTGCCCTCCTCGTCTAATAAACGATTGGCCTCGTCAAAGAAATGGCCGTCTTTGGAGTGGGACTCCCCGGCAACCGCAAAACTTTGGCTATAGTTAGAGGAGAACTAAAAATAATTAGTGAGCTACCCATATGCCGTTTGGAGCAACACTTGAAGGCAAAAGGGTGCTGAGCATACGCAACCTTCTGCAAGCATCGCATTGAAAAGCAATGGAAAGCAATGGAGAGCAATAGATGCAGTTTTAATTCCCCGCTTGCATATCGCTCAAAAAAAGCTGTTTTACTATCCAGCTTGAACATGATGGATGATTCCACGTAAACCAAAGGGAAACAAGTTGGGATACTAAATCTTCGTCGCGGGAGATGTTCGTCCATGGGTGTGTCGGTACTTGAAGGACTGGTATGTCTGACAGCCATTCAATATCTAATGCTTTGTGACGATTCTTGGTCGTTGTCATCTCTTTTACTTCTGCTTGAGAGTGCAATTTCTCAACTACTGAGCAATCCTCGGATAGAGATGTTTCGGTGAGCTTTTCAGCGACAAGGATCCTAATTCCGCTAAGGGAGGCACCACTGCGCACGAGGGCAAGTAGGTCAGAAATCCTCTCCTTTTTACCGCCCCGAAGAGTGATCGCTGTCATGTTGTAACACGTCTATCTTGCGTTTGAGAACCAGCTTCCGCCGCTCGTCGGTGTCCATATTGTTGTGATACGAGGCCGGTGCAGATCAGGAACTAAGCCGAACCATTGGAATTAACTTCGTGGGGTCTATACAGAAGACCAAGTTGATTTCCAATCAACTTGGCTACACGTTGTATATGTAGCCTCATCTTTCCCTCGAGAATCCCAAAAAAAAATTCACACCTCTGAACTACAACACATATCGATAGCGCACTCTGTTTTGTGTTTGCGGCATCGCTTACAGGGTGCTACTCCAGAGCACTATTCTTTTGATCAGTAAGCAGCATGATATCGTTGCAGGGGTACACTACTTTTGCCTTCATCCTCTGGCATTCCGTGCACGCACGTGATGCCTTTTATTCCTGAAGTTGAGCCTTTATTATTAGTCATCGTGGCTCCATGATCAAAAAGAAGTGGAAGACTTTTCTCCTCCTTCTTAACTTATTTGTTGATAAAGCCGATGTGGGCCAGAACAGCTGACTGACTGACTGACAGGGACCTGGTGTGGGCGGTTAGGTCTTGCTCAAAACCTGAAAAATTGCAAGCCATCCACTATGTGGCTGAATTCATGCACCGACCAGTCTGGGCCCCTTGGCCAATTTCGACACGTCGAATAGGAGGCCGTCGGTGGGAATATTACATCGCTCGAGGAAGTGAACGAGGGGCATTACGAGGCGAAGACGATGCGTATAGGGAAGCTTACCACGGAGAGGCAACCAAAAGAGATTGTCAATTCCGACGAATCGGAACAAAGTGAGCATGATGGAAGGAATAATGCCAGCATTGATGGGACAAGGGCAGCCATGGTGAGATTCGGCCATCGGGCGGGCGGTACGTAGACGAAGGCTGATTATTTGCACGTGGGGTGGTTTTTGTTGGGTGATTTACCTACTTTTGTTCAGCAATATTCCGTACCTCCTTCATTCTTGTTTCCGCTGAAAGAAACACACATCGCCACTGCGTTTAAAGCTAGGCTGCATTCGGTTAATAGAATATTGAATTCACAAGAAACATGGAATAGCCTTCTTTCAATTCCCAACTTGATATACTATTATAACGGGAAGGATGAATAGTGGTATGAAAAATGTCACATGACTTTATTTATTGGTAGATCTAGGTCAATCTATAAGGAGACGGGGATTTCAGTTATCCCTTGTTTCCGACAAATTATCCATACAGCTGCATATGCTTTGACTATGAATTCAGCGCACCAATTCACTCTACTCGAGCTACTTCCGAACGAGATACTTTATATGGTTGTCCAGCTCCTCTGCATGTATGATGTCGGACATCTGGCATTTACCAGTAATCGGCTGAGGGAAGTCTGTATACCATACCTGTTCTGTAATGTGCGTTTTTCGTTTTCGGCTTCCGGCTTCAGTGAACTACGACGGCTACTGTTGTCCGATGTGCGTCAAAACGTGGTCTCCTTTACATACGTGATTCCAGAACTACTCCGACCTGGTAAGTCTCTATCAGTAAATCTCTAAGTTGACAACTAACGTGAATGGAGAAATTTCGGATTTTGAATTTTTCAAGCGCAATGTCCTTCTACCTGAAGACTACGCTGACATCTCGAGGGGATCAAATCGGGAGAACGCCCAGGTTGAGATGTACGTCCCATATGTGCTTGTTTATAATACATTCAGTGGTATATGCAAGGAGCAACAGGGGCTTGTTGAGAGACATGAGGATGCGATAGCGCTGTCGGCTGTTTTTCGATGGCTTCCCAGATTGACGGAGCTCTGCTTGCTCTTTCGTCAAACTCTTGCGAAAGAGCCTTGGATGTCGTGCTTCATGGACCATACTGTGGAACGATATACTTACGGACATCATTTTCAAATCATCTCAAACGCTTTAAAAGCAGAGAGAGGACACGGAGTTCTTCTTCACACCGTTCACTTATCTGGTCTTGAGCTTCCTTATTATCCTTCATTACGCTTTTCTCAAGCCCGAGAGCTGAGTCCTTACCTCGAAGATTTGCTGCGATACGTCCAGAATCTACGACTGAGTGGATCAGGATCAGTGTTGAAATCACTGTCACACACTACGCTGCGTCTTCAACAACTAGATTTGTGTAGCCTCACCATCGCTCAGACTACACTGGTCCAGTTCTTACAACAGAATGCGAATTCAATCAGCTCTATTGAGTTCCATAATGTTAAAATGGTTTGCACGGATTCGAATGATTTAGTCGCATTATCCCCAGAGCTGTGTCGTAGCAGGCTCTCACCGAATATGCTCTTTCTAAGCTGGGAAGCTTCCCCTTGTCCTTTTTGCGGGCATTCTGGCTGGAGGATGTCAAAGACTTGATGTTATACAGAAAAGCACTTTACTGCATCTATGAGCAATAGTTCTTTTTTGAAACAGATTGTAGTGCGCAACATCTCCATCTCAAGTGACCAGTGATTATCTTCCCAGTGTTTAATGTTGGCATTGGGTCTTTGATCTCGCGCACGATCACAATTGCAGGTGCCACACCGGGCTACGCGATTGTCAACCAAGTGTGTGGACTTTATATGGAATAGTTCAGGACGACAAGTGGGAGGGAGGCTGTTTCCCGTTCCTCTTGCCTTCCTAATTGCCTAACTACGCACTTGCCTAGAAGATGTGTGCAGCTTCCGGAAACAGTTGGCTCTCGGTGGTCCATCAGTAAGTTGCGGTCCCAATTTCGCATGCTCCGTAACAAGATGGCCGCGTATAGTCATATCAAGAAACTGTGAATCGGACTCTCCAGCATGAATCTGAGGCTTTTCCACCCATGTCTTAGCAAAACAATGCACTGCAGCTTAATATGGTGCCATCTATTGTGAGATGTATTGAGCAGATCAAAGCACAAGGCTGGCTTTATCGAGTAAACGATACGGATAAATAAGGCTGTATAGAAAGGCAAACAACGGTACCAAGACGGGTGGGAAAGAACATGAGATACTATCACTGCTGGAAAAGTACGCTGAGGCGTTAGATCACAGTATCAGATTGGCAAGACAGAACCTCTTGTAGCTCAAAGTTAGCAGCACGTTGCGTCATTGACAAGACCTTCGGCTTCCTTAATCACATCTATATTTGGAAAACCAGAGTTCTGATTGCGTGGCACATTTCCGGTGATAATATCGCCCGCATCCTCGTTCAGTCTTCCGGAGCACTCGTCTGGACCAAGGAATATTGAAAGTTGGGCCTGGGTATGCGCCAGTATTGTTTCACTGTAATCCTCTAGGCACCGGCGACAATAGATGGAGCAAGTGGTGTCCATGCTGGCTTTGAATAGAGAGGCTAGCACGCGAGCCCATTTGTAGGTCGTTATTGTATCTTTTGAATCTGATCCAATTCAAGGATATCTATTGTCAACCATAGCCATTAGCCCATGAGCGGACTCTAATAGCGTGAACAGGCAAAGATCAGCTCTTCAAATGGATGTACCTCGACAGAGACGGAATAGCTGCGGAGATATATGGATGATGCTTACGGCGAGCACTATCACTGGTAGCCTGCTAGTTATGATGTAAGTGAGCGTAAAAGGCCAGCTAATCATAGGGAGGCTTTCAGGGGTCAGCAGAAGAATGAGTTGTATATCGTAAGAGGTGGGCTCCATCAATTTTCCCGCAAATTGCAGGAATGGAGCGAGCTAGGAGAGATACCCAGAGCTCCCGGCGGTCTGGAAAAAATGACGTAGGCGGCGTCCGACTGGGACAAGCAACAGGTTTTCCATTCTTTTTACTTGTAATTGTCGAGCGGAAAGAGTGGCCAAATACCACTAAGACGCTTTTGGGTGGGATGTTCATCGTCCGCCCAATTCCCCACGTATTCGTGTGGTATTCGGTGTAGACTCGGAGTATGGTGTCGTAGCACACCGAAACTAGATGATACAGACTCTCACGAGTGTTCAACCACTCTGATCTTTAATCAATCAATTATATGTTTCTATTGGACATGTTCAGTACTAGCCAGTACATCAATTCCTTATCCTGACATGAATCAATATACAATACAAAACACAAAGGAATGTGGGTTCCTTGGTAATCAATCGATTGCTAGTTGTAATTTACCACTCCATGCGCCGACAAGTCCTTTCCCGGATAATATATTCGCAAAGGGAGATATTTGATTGGGTGTTTCTAAAATTAGTTTCTCTACCATCCATCGGGTGTTAGTTTGTTGGAACAGAAATGTACGTCCAATCAGGTCCATGGATAGTTGTCTGTGTTGAGATAGGTAGTTTTAATGTTCTTATTTAGGTTCCTATCAAAAGTGGGAACCCCATCTATTTAAACGTCCATCGCTAGTCCCGCCATAAGCTTTGACCACCGAGATAGTCAACGCGCGCGAATATGAATATGTCGTATATTCGCATTCCTTTATTCTTTTCGGAGCCCTATGCACGGGCAAAATTCCAGCTGTATCTTACAATACAGGCTTCAGAGGCAGCATTACTGAGAGAACGACCGGCTGTAAACAAGGGAAGAGCAAAGTTAAAGTGAAAGTTTTGCAAGAGAGTCGCAAGATGTTCAGATTCAACAGAAAATGCTTTCTCGATTTGCGACAGCTAGGAAGACGTAAGAAGCCAAATTCGTAACGAAAGGGTACGCCAATATTCAATCGCCCTTGCTAAATAAATCTCAAGTGGGTGGAAACTGCGCTCCATCCCATAGCGACACCGTTTTTAGTGTCATAGACGCATCATCATCTACTAGAGGGTGCGTTGGTCCAGAAATGCGCCCAGAAAGATCCATTTTTGAACAGTGATGACAAAGTCCTTCAACATGAAACTCATGATCCTCCATTCTGCAAGCCCCTTGGCAATCCAAGGTGCCAGAGGATGATGATGAGGGGGACCAATAGTCAGAGGCTAAGACCAGACACAGGACAAAAGAAGCATCGTCAGGCAAAAAAGAATTGATATTGCGTGAGAAACAAATGTGTAGCCACTGCGGCCGGGCTCTTTCGGTCCCTATGTGCAAAACTCCCGAAATATGACGGGCAGACTGAGGAATAACGATGACCCCTAGCAGCCAAAACTATCAAAAGGCCGCCCGATCATCCTCCAATAGGACGTATGCGGCGCAGGATCAATGCGTGTATAAGTTAGTACCGCTGTGCAAGAAACTCAAACCAGAATGTCACTCCGTTGGTATGTAAAGGACGCGCTTCCTGCTGCCTTACAGAGATAGGCGACGTAGCAAGATAAGATTCGAGGCCATTACTGCAAATTTGGACCATAGAAGTCCCTCATGTTGGGGTCCATCATGTTTGGGTCTATGCTGTGGTGTGGATGTTGCGGATTCAAGTTGTTAGGTTGTGCTGAGGAGTGGGCGGAGAGGACTTGGTCGAGAAAGTTGCGGATTTCGTCTAGCCCGGCATCACCACGGACTGTCTGAACCATAGTCTGCAGGGAGGCGGCATCGCCGGTGCGTATAAGCCTAAGGAGCGATTCGAGGATTGACCTAGTATCGTCCAGCTCCTCCTGTGTCCTTCTCGCGGAGGTTTTCCGACGCTTGTCAGACAGTTATCTGTCACGCATCCACGGCCATGAGTGACGCATTCCGTACACGGCATGCCGGTGCACTAGAGAGCGGATGAAGGGTCAACGCTCGAGAAAGTCCATATAGCGGAGGAAAGAACGCAACGAGGGCAAAATGAAGGGGGAGAGAGAGAGCGAGAGAGAGAGAGTAGGGTAAGGGAGAGAAGGGAAAGGGGGATGGGGGATGGGAGGTCGTTTGTACCCTTGTCCGGCGTTTTTGGCACTCTTTGCACGTTGTGAAGGCCCTTTTCATCTTGGCATCCTCTGGAGGAACGCCAACAGCACCTTGCCTCTGGTGGTAGCTCGTCATATCTCACGCAGTCAAGTCTCGATTTTGTCCCTCCCACCCCCCTGTGTATATAGAAACCTGCATTGCAATATACAGACACATTGCCTCCCTACAAGGGAGCGCGGACGGGCCTTCTCTGACGCTACAGTCTAATGCGTTTACGCATAAGACCGCAGCGACAGGTGACCCGTTACGGCCAAACTGTACACTTTCCAGTTCCCATCTTGACTGCGAGAGGTCACCAATAAAAGACATATTTTACAATCGTTCTCAGCTAAGTTTGGTCTGGTCAATGGATAATCTACGCTAAGGTCTTGGCAGTGCGGCCGAGAAAGAGCGTCTCAGTGTGTACTGGCCAAGTCGATTTCGAGAATGCCTGTACCTAACTCTGAGAAACCACCTAATAGATAAAGAGAAGAGACTTTGAATTATTAAATACTTCGTCATAGGAAGTTGTGGGTGAATATATATCTAAAATTCGTCCAATTACAGGTAGATCAACCACTATTGGAGCATGCTTAGGTATTATGCGAACACACATATGACTATGTAATAAATATTTACCTTGCTTATGGAGACCCGATTTTCTATGTCGTTTCGAAAGACGATTATGATCATTTTGTTGATCAAGTATATTATAGAAACAATATGTTGATACGAAAGAATAGCTCGGGAAAAGAGAAGGCATAAGAGAAAGGAAGAAGAAAAGAATAGGAAGAAAAGAATAGGAAGAAAAAAGGAATCTGGGAAAGATAACGTTAACGCGAGAACAAAACTCAAAGACTATTAATCTTCCCAAGTTAAGAACCATCCCATAATAAAGCTTCGAAACTATAGGCTACAACCTAGCATGGATAGCCGCTCAATTCGCCTTCCCTGGGTTGTCAGGATATTAAGACATTGCTGCCGGCAACGACACAAGCCTTTTATCTTTATTATTCGATGAAACCATATTAGTTGCCTGTTGTTGCCTGTTGTTGAACATCACTTGCAGTATCTTCGCGCAGGACCCTTCCCGTCATCTGCTCCACGTACCGCTTGATGTACCCCTCACACTGTGAATGCTTGAGTATTTCAAGTCGCAGATCCAACACCTCATATTGTAACCTTTTGGTGCCAGCCAACAGTTCCTTATTCCTAGTGGCTTGCATTTTCAGAGTCGATTCGTCCTGCTGGTTCTGCAGTTTTCTTTTTTGACGGCATCGTTTTGCTGCTTGACGATTACGTTTGAGCAGCAGTTCACGATGGGTAATGGGCATTGATAGTTTTGATGGTTGCATGGTTGATTCGGTATTGGAGGGGAGGCTGCCATTTATCTGTTCAGGCTTCGGCTTAGTATATTCGATAGAAGCGATGGAGCTTTCTCTATCCTTATCCGGACCGGTGGGTTGTGTTTTTATATCCAAGGAGATATATTCTTCCGCGGTCTTCAGGGTTTCGGTCTGTCTCAAGGCTGATGGTGCAATGCACGATAGGCTACATCTCTAATTCTGTGATATATTCTGATTGGGTTGGAGGGGAGAATATGGTTGTATTGATCATGCCTCCAAGCTGAAGTTTACTGACTTCGGGAAGATCTGATTGAATTCTCCCGGTGACAAAACTGGCGGTGGCGAAATGAGGGGTAAACCGCAAAAGGAGTCATCTTGTGCCTGGGTGGTGATGGTGTCGAATGGGATAATGTTCACGTCGTCGGGGCGTAGACTGTCGATACCCTTAAGCCACATAATGTTTCTGAGATTCCCCATTGTCGTCGTTGCTGTTTCCGACTCAAAATCCAAAAACTTACGGAGAGCTCGGATTATTATGTGCTAGGTTTAAATGGGCTGAAGAATCTTTTGATTTGCCTGGCTATATAAGTAGTTCACGGAAGAACTAGCAATGTAAGCCACGGCGGAATTTCGTTAGATATGTACCAGTTTATTGTAGATAGTGGACGAAAGTTGCTGGACGAGCCAATAAATCTACAACCCTTTGTCACGTCATCGTACAAAATAGAATCAATTATTTGCAGAGAGGCAAGATTTCAATCCAGGAAAAACACGTCCTCGAATTTCCCCGCACTGTCCAGTGACTCACTCTCTTAGGACTTTCACAGAAATCGACCGGATATTAAGGCCATCGAGTGAGAAGACTCGGGAGCCTAGTCACCTACCTCGACCCCTTAGAGTTTGCCTTCCTACTAGACCAAAATACAAATACATATGTATTGAGCCTAGTGGGTGGGGTTTACAATCAATCGCGGAGCAATACGCAGGCTACAGCAATTATGTATTTCCATGCACACACATGTAGGTTTTAACTACTAATTTCCTAAAAACGAACTTAGAGCTTCGTCAAATCTTGTCGTGACCGAATTGCCGTTCGCGTTGTTAGGCTGCCCTCGTGGCGCGCGGCTTCGAACTCGTTGTGACGCCTCGGTGAAGTCTAGAACGGCCGCGACCGTCCTAGCCCGGGACATAGCTCTCTAGAAAGTTGCTACAACATCGAGCCTCCGTCACGAGTGATGCTACGAAAACGTAAAAACCATGAGGGGCCCACATGAGCGTGTCACCTTCAGTTTATCTATTGAACTACAACTCCAGGGTGTGGAGCAAGAGGTGCAAAAACGCCAGCAGATGAATGAAGCTTTCCAAAAAGCGCTCAGGGAAATCGGGGGAATCATTACTCAAGTCGCGGACGGAGACCTTTCCACAAGAGTCCAGATACATCCACTCGAATAGAACCTATCATCTTCGTTCCGTCACTAATATTTCAAAGCTGATGTACAGTGTGAAATAATGCTGTCCATCAGCTTCAATCTGGTATTACAGCAAATTGTAGTGTATTCAATACACTGTATATAGTTATAGACTTTTCTGAAAAACTCGACTATGAGCTAGGGGTTGCATGACGGCGCAATCAATTTAGGTTGCCAATTCAAAAACCATGTTAAAGTGTGCATTATCTGTGGAAGAGTGTATCCTTTCTTTACACCGGTCGCTCCTTTGTGCGACATTCCCTTGGTTCGAGCTTTGTCACATGCTCTTTGGCGATATGCTGTGTCTGTTAGCAGGATACATAGCCGTAATTTAATGTCGCACTGTTACTTACATTATTGGCGCTAAAATAGGAAACGAATTATCAGAATATCAACGATAAAAAGTTCATTCTTTCTATTGATATCACCAGCTAGGTACCATGTACCGTGTACATAGTTAAGTGAACAGTTTATACCCTTAAGCAAAAGTTAATTAATTCATGCATAATAGATGCAGGTATGTATGAGGCCCAGTCCAAAATACTCCTAAATCCCATACGCCGATACTCGGTGGTCTCAACACCGGTGCCGCAGCTTAGCGCAGGGTCACCCAGCACAGAAATGTGATCTATTAGTCCCCAGCGGTAAGTTGCCGCTAGCTTGTGTCAGGATAAGGAATTGATGTACTGGCTAGTACTGAACATGTCCAATAGAAACATATGATTGATTGATTAAAGATCAGAGTGGTTGAACACTCGTGAGAGTCTGTATCATCTAGTTTCGGTGTGTTACGACACCATACTCCGAGTCTACACCGAATACCACACGAATACGTGGGGAATTGGGCGGACGATGAACATCCCACCCAAAAGCGTCTTAGTGGTATTTGACCACTCTTTCCGCTCGACAAAAACCAATATTTGCCAAGACGCCCCGGCCATGGTAGCCTGCCTTAGTGTTTAGTTTGGCATCGATCGCACCAGTTTTGTGGAACCCAACCGCTCCCCCCTTCCCCCCTCCAGATTTAATAATTATTTTTTTCCTACTTTTTCCCCTTTTCTTCCGAAACTCATAAAACTGCTACATGTGAATATGATTTTCTCGCGTACCAAAACTCAACCAGATCTTCTTCTTATATTACTAAATAGATTTAAAGTACAAATACATTTGACGATAGTGGTATATGGCGGATCAGGGTTTATCTCCTCTTCAAGGGAAGCGGCGATGGAAATCGATAGCTGCAAAAAGCTCATGTCAGACCCAATTCGGTCTTGCGTTTTAGCTTCTATCCTTATAGAAAAAATCAATTGTTGTGCGGGCAGCTAGAAAACTACCATTCAGATTGCTGATTTCTTCCTTAATGAGGGTAAGACGGAATATCTCAATAGCTTCTGCAAACTCGCCATGTAGACTCAATATCGCACTGGTTCTTCGAATGTTTTCACAACTATCATAAAACTTGCGGAAGCCCAAAGCCACTGCACATTGTTGCAGGGAATCGTTATTGGACATCAAAGAAACGAAGTCTCTTTTCGAACTGCCCATGACAAATTTCGTCAGAATGCTACTTAACCTCTTTTTACTGTTTCAGAGCTGCGGGCACTCTGACAAAGGTAGGTTTGCGTGGGGCATTAGCGCTTACAGGGCGATCTCCATAAAGTCCACCTTCTCCTTGCCTCTTTCAAGAAAACCATAGAGCGCTGTCGAGCTACTCTCCCGAGCTTCTTCTTCATCCATCTCCAAAATCTGGGAGAAGACGGTCATATCAAGTACTTCCTTCAGCTTGATGTTGAGTTCATTTCTTTCCATGATCTTTTGAGGGTTTATTAGACGATAAGTTAACGCCGAATCAATGGGTCGGCTTGCGTTTGTATCTCTGTACTATGCAGTGCTAGGATATAGTATTCACAGTGTAGTAGTTTTAAGAGTTTTGGAAGGAGACCAAAAAAAAAATAGATTTTGAGGAGGGAGTTGTTTCCAAAAAAAAATAGTGTGATCGAGATAAAGCCAACCCCAAGCTAGGCTACGTATGGCCTCGGAGATATATTTGCTAAGTGCGGAACCTGTATTTACGGTAATTTTGGTGACCTAGTAGAAATATATCAAGAGTGGTGGAACTCTACCTAACCATATCAAGATTTGCGCTCTCACGTTTTCGGGACCCGTGACAATCTGGATAGCGACTCACACTCCAAGAAGAAGAAGTTGCCATCAATGGAACACAATCAGTAAGGTTTTTGATTCACGCCACGTGATCCTAACGCTATTGCCCCCGTATGCAATGAAATGAGTCACAGGCCGTGGCATGACATCATGCAGGGCAAAATTCTAATTAGGTGAGCAAGCACCTTGGTATAAACAAGGCAATATACCACTTGTAAATGTCTTCTTCCCACAACTCTTTTTGCAATATGCCAGGCGAAAATGAAGCGCACACAGATGCTAAAGTAAGCTTTTAGTCAAATATGTGAATTACAGACTTCAGTTAATTATCCAAGCCACCCTTTGACAGAAACGCCCTGGCATTTCGGCGCTACGGCGTTGTTCCTCTTCGAGAGAAGCTATTTCCCGGAGGATCAAAGGTTGGATGCTGAGCCCAAACAACTTTCTCGAGTTGGAAGGCTAATATTTTGCAGCATCGTACCTACTTCGACTCTGCTGAATTCGTTCTGAAATCTGCACATAACCCATCCGAGGTATCCGAAAAGAATACTGGAACCGAGCGTCCGCAACACGCTAGCATCTCTCAGCCATTTTGCTCCGTGCCTGGCACCAGTAATGTTTGTAAGTCCGCGAATAACGGATTTCAGACTACCAGTCATAAACATCAGAATTACCAGAGTCCTCTCCATGAAAACGACGAGGCCGACTGCAAAAGGCGAATGAAGGTTGGCTGTAAAATGATAACTGACTTAACATCTTAGAAATAAGATCTTAATCCTAACTTGTGTAAGATACCATAGGAATTGAAATGATGTGATACGAACGAAAAAAACTTTAAAAATTTTGTAAGGAGACAAACTCTAGATGTATAATCATAATAACAAAAGAAAGGCATAATCAATACTCAAGGCCCACATCCTTGTCCGTGCCGAGAGTATCACTGGCGATCTCTTCGTAATCCTTTTCCAGAGCAGCCAAGTCCTCGCGAGCATCGGAGAACTCTCCTTCCTCCATGCCCTCACCTAAGTACCAGTGGACAAAAGCACGTTTGGAAAACATGAGGTCAAATTTGTAGTCGAGGCGGTGCCATGCCGCGGCGATGGCGGTGGATTTGGAGAGCATGGTAACCGAGCGGTCGACAGAAGCAAGCTCGCTCCCGGGTACATTCATGGGTTTTTGGTAGTTGATCCCTAGTTTGAAACCGGTTGGACACCACTCAACCAAGTTGAATGAGGCCTTGGCCTTAATGTGGGCCATTGCCTGGGTACAATCGTGAGGCACGACATCTCCCCGGTACAGGAGGGCAACAGCCATGTACTTGCTATGCTGTGGATCGCAAACAACCATTTGATTTTTAGATTCAAAGCCTTTTCAGAGTTAGATGAAGCATACTTGAAATAAAAGGAGCAACTGTACATACATTGTAAGGTTAAGTCCTTGACCTTGAAGCTCTCGTGGCCACTATTGGTGCTAGATATGACAGGTGCATACGAAATGAGGGGGTAGTGAATTCGCGGAAATGGCACAAGATTTGTCTGAAACTCGTTTAAGTCGACGTTTAGTGCATCATTGAAACGCAGGCTGGAGGTGACAGAGCTAACGACCTGGGCCACAAGACGTTGAGATGCTCGTATCCTGGGCGAGGGATGTCCAGGTTGCGCTTACAGATATCGTACACAGCTTCATTATCAATGAGGAATGTGCAATCCGAGTGCTCAATAGAGTCGTGTGTCGAGAGGACGGCATTGTAGGGTTCTACTACTGCAGTTGCCACGTGAGGGGACGGGTAAACCACGAATTTCAGTTTGGTATTTTTGGAATACTCGGCAGAGAGGCGCTCGAGCAAGAGTGCACCGAGACCAGAGCCTGTTCCGCCGCCAAAGGAATGGAAGAGCAAAAATCCCTGAAGAGAGGCGCAATTATCTGGAAGGAAATCAGTCTGCAGGTCGAAGCCAAGAGAGGGAGGATTCCGTAAACACACCAGCCACGCGGCGAATCCGGTCCACAACGCCCTCCATGAGCTGTTTACCAACAGTATAATGGCCTCGAGCATCTATTGTAGATTAGTTTGTGTGGCACGCGTCTTCAAGATCTCTGGGGTTTGTACAGTTATTAGCCGCATCCTCCTTTCCGCTTATCAGCTGATCGGGGTGGAACAGATGGCGGTAGGTACCAGTGCGTATCACATCGATAGGCTATATCACCACCAATTCATCAGTCTACATCTCATTTCGACTTCGTTGCCACTCTTTACGCACCGAAGGGTCAAGGTCGATAAAGATGGAGCGTGGGACGTATTTGCTTTTGCCAGTCTCGGTGAAAAATGTCTCATAAGAGCCACTCTGGTCAATTTCTTGGACATAATCAGGCTTGATGTGACCATCGGCCAAAAGATTATGCTCGAGCAGATAGCTACATCATCAATCAATAGTGAGTCATTGCAGAATGAATCACAAGAGAATAAAGACTTACAGCTCCCAGGCAGCATTGCCAAGTTGGGTACCAGCCTGGCCTAGGTGAAGATGGCAGATCTAATGAGTGAGTATATGTGCTTCCATTATCTACTGTGGGGGTTTGTGTGGCCTGAGATACAATAAAGGTATTGAGAGCCACACCGGAATTCTGGGCTGTCCTTATGTTGCGGTCCAAGGCTGGTAAAAGGAACAGAAGAGGGCAACACCATTTACATGGAGCACCTTAAGCGGCAAGAGGATGGCACGTACCTCGCCGCACATTCTGAATGATTGAAACCCAAAAGCTGATGCGTACAGGCGGGCAGATGTGAAATGAAAGGGACTGGACGTTCAACTTTTTAGGAAACTGAAGTCTAAAATAGGTTAAGGTGGGTCCAATTTGTTATATTTTGACGAATGATAGAAGTGGTAGAATACCACTAAGATCCTTCGGGGTCGGCTTATTCATCGCTCACCCAATTCCTTCCTAGTATGGTGTCATATGTAACACGCCATACTTCGACAAAAGAGACCCCTGAGATCGTTCAACCGATCTTAACACCTACAATAAATCATCTAATTTCATTGGACATGCTCAGTACTAGCTAGTACGTCAATTCCTTATACTGACATATTTCTCTTTTCCTTTCAGGTATAGCCTAATGTTTCCCTTCGAATAAACAATCGATTTCATCTGAACTACAACACATCTCAACGACTTCCAAACTCTTTTTATCGCGCGCGCGTGCGTGACCATTCGTCCATTTTGTGAGGACAAATAGAGCGCAAGTTAATCAGGTAATCATCGTAAGTAGCAGTGATAAAAGTAAAACGACTATTAAACCATGTATATTGAAGTTACAAGGTGTATTTTGGTAGGTAGCCAGCTGTAGAAGGAAACCCAAAGAAGAAAAGGCATAACACATGAACCCCATAGATCAAAGTAAGACACCAGCCCTAGGAAAAGTGGTTAAACATAAGAATACAGGGTGGATGGATAGCTGATTTCATTTACCCTCGCAATTTTGAAAGCAAGAAACTTGCTACAAAACCTATATGTATTAAACTCGGCGATAGCCTGAGAGACATCTCCTACAGAAGGAGGAAAAACAGCGATGAAATCGTCAAGGTAATGAACGATGGAGACCACAGGCAAGTAGGCAGTCACAAGCCAGTTGAGACCCTCAGCAAAAAGGTTAAAGATGAAGGGTGCAGTTGCAAGACCAAATGGAAGGCAACACTCCATATATGTCTTGCTATCCTACGAAAAGGCTAGGAGGGGCCGGTCGGCGGGTGCGACGGGGATATTGCGGAAAGCATCTTTGATGTCGCGTTTGATGATACAGCATCCTCGTCCAGAGGTGCGGATGAGATCGAAAATTTGATCTATGAAGATGTATTGTATGGCAGAGGCGGTATCCGAGATGGACTCGTTGACACTGCGCCCTGGCGGGTAGGAAAGGTCATGGATACGGCGCCAGCTTCCATCGTGTTTAGGCACGAGCCCTAGTGGGGACACGACAACGGGGCCAGTGCAAACTTGCCCCCGACGATTTGACAGGTCATCGGAGAGCTTTTGTGTAATAATAGAGGGTTTCTCAATATGGTGATTAGGTGTTCGGCGGCCTGTCGGCTGGCCTGTACAACCAAGGCGGGAGCCGAATGTGAGAATGCCCCTGCAAATAGTCCCTAGATCGCCAGGATAATGGTCAAGGAGAGTTTCCCACGCTGAACTGATAAAAGGGGAAGCGGAGTCACGCAGAGGCGGGAGGGAAGAGTCAAAGACCTTAAACTGAATAGAAGTGTTGGGACGCGGGGCTAGCCAGCTAGTTGGCGGTGATAGCAATTGAATTATATCAAGGCAGACCGCGGCGTGGTCCTAACTCGCTGGTTTCACTTTGCAGCTTATCATAGAGTGTTCGTTGCCGCACTTAGAGCAGACGTGCCTACGGTGACATGTTCGCCAGTGACAGCCAGCAAAAGAGTTGAACTTTTCACAGATGACAGAATCGTTGTTTGAGGCGGCGGTTGAGCGCGTTGACCGTGTGGTTGGGGTAGTCAGCGCTGTCTTTGCTGGGAGCACGTTATCCGGGCGTAGGTAGGAGCTTTCGAGAGCTTTCCCAATTTCCCAGTCGCCAAGAGAAACGGCAAGGTCGCCTTTATCGACGACCATCTGATGGTGGTCTAAGGCCATTTGCAGGATACACTCCTGCCACTTATATGCCCTGGCAAGGTCACAAATACGGCGGTGGAAAAGGACCATTCCACTGATGCATAGTGAGTGCTTGGCAGCGAAGAAATCACACCAGATAGCGATATAATTGCTAAAGCAGTGGGCCCACAGGGATGCGTCATTGCCCCAGTCCTTGATTGAAACCACCTTGCGGAATTGCAGGCCAGACGATGTGGACTTCAAGTCGAAGGACTCGCCATCCGGTGCCGAGGCTTTGAATTCGGGGCTGCGAAGTTTTATGAGGTCCTTCTTTGGGCGGAAGGTGTGTTCAAAAACGGCTATAATGGCAGCACGGTCGAGACCGGGGAAGCGGGGGAGGACTGGCAAAACAAGAGACGGAACCCTACCGTCGTCGATATCCTCCTCTGTGGTGAGATCTATACGTGGGCGCTTACGCTGCCCGTCGCCCGCAACGAGGGAAGCGGACACTGTGGACATAAATGAATCGCGTTGGGTATCAGAGAGAGAATTCCAAATATACTCCGGTGGATAGAACGAGGAGCCCAGGGTGGTCTGTCCCCCAGGAGTAGTACTGGGGGCCTCGGAACTATGTCGCACCATTGCAAGAGGAACTCTTGAAGAAGAAACCGCTGCGAAGAGAGCCCAACTCTCCTTCGAAACGGCAATGTTCCTTTCGAAGGAGAGGATATACGAGCAATATCTGTGTGCGATTATAAGCACGGAATATCGTGGACCCGACGCAAGGGGGAGGGGCTCTCCGCAACAATCCCGAATAGAACATATCATTTAATTTCGTCAGCATGGACCCTTTCCGGGTTTGTGTCGGCGACAGTATTGGCCGGGAAACTGGTGATTTCTTTTCGAAAAGTTGCACAGTGCTGGTATTAATGTAATAGAGGACTGTTTTGAATACCCCATATGCCCCCGTGAATGATGCCTGCTCCGATTGGGTACTCGCTGTGGGGATCCTCTGAGCCTGGGCCGATTCATCTCGATCAGAAAGCTTATCAGTTGATTTTGAAGCAGTTGTCTGCCTTGTAAGCCCTTGATTTGAGATGTTTTCTCCCGACTGAGAACGACTTCTACAATCCTGCAACGTTGACCAACCCCACCCGGAAAATACATCCGTCAGGTCGTCAATAATAGGAAGGTTTCGGGAATCATGCTTGTCTCTAACATCGTCCCATATCGTGTGATGATAATGGGTCGACACAGAGCGATCTGGCGATGGGACATGCTCGAAGGGAGAACGTAGATGAGGACTTTGAGAGTTCCCTGTCTCTTGCATAGTCTATTCTAGGAAGAGATAAATAATTATCGCCAGAGCGTCGAATTACCGCGTCTTCGGGCCAGACCAATATGAATTTTTCACAGTAGCGTAAACGCACAAAGTAATGTATTCCGGACAACAATTGTGGTGTGAGGTTTGGGAAGAGCTTGTCGTAACATGATGTATGACGTCATCATAAATCAAACCATGTGACACAATTTGGGAGGTGACCGAAAGGTTAAATAGGCAGAGTGAGAAAGATTTAAAATTATAATGAAAACACAGGAAATTTTATAAAGAGTGATATCACTACTAAGGGGTCGGCACGAAGAACGAATATTCGTATCCGCTGTTAATTATTGTTGATTATCACGGCAGTCAAAGCGTATGGCGGGGACTAGCAATAGACGTTTAAATAGATGGAGTATCCCACCTCTATTATGTTAGTCTACTTAACCCAATACAACCACTTATCTCAAGATAGTCCATTCAACGGAAATTGAGTGCGTCGCATCATTGTCTCTAAAGCTATTTTTCTTTCGACGCGCTTTCTGAAAGCGCAAGTCTCTCGCCGTGCGTTATGGATAATTCCACGGTTTCTCAGCGCAAACGGCCACACCGAGCCTAGCGAATCAACTACCGTGCTCTCAATAGTGGCACCGACAAAGAATTTCTATCAGAAGACCGAATTATTGAATTTACTTCTAAAGGATCACGTAGCAGCGTTCAACCTACTACCAAAGATCGCTTGCAAGTCCATTAGCGGGCCTGGGGGTCTCGACGTCCGCTTTCGTTGGCGTACCAACTAGATAAACTGCCGGGATCATTATTTCTCTTGAACCTGGCTTCTCTCTAAGAAGGCCGCAGTATCAATCTCTCTAGGCTCAATTCGATCTCCGCCCACTTTCTGCAAAGACATGGCGTCCTAAAAGAGGCAAAGAGCCAATCGACCGATTCTGTACGAGCAACACCAACGTCAAATGTATTAATATATCTCTCAAAACATGGCATCTTCTCAAGTGGCGCAGACAAAAGTACAGAGAAATACGGAAGAAGCAGCAAATAGCCATTCATTACCAGGTTTCTCCAGAAGCAGGCGGAGGAGAACAGTGCAAAGGCGCTGGAGCAGAGCCTTGTTTGGTGGGTAGTAAGGATAAATATTACCATCGAACAGCCTATATTTCAACAGCTTTTCAAGATTGAGACATTCCGCTCCCTTTCACATCTCGTATAACAATAGCTCGTCAAATAGACTATGAGTTTGGTAATTGGCAAAAACAGTTAATCGAGAAACTAGAGCAAAAGTGCCTAGCAATATCTCTCTTTAGATACTCAGACCAGCAATTATTCGAAGTGCAAAATAAGAGTTATCAGTCGTTAGTTGATGGCAGATTTAAAGTACCAAGACCAAGTTCTTAAAATTACCAAAATCCATAGCTTTCATAGCGTTCACAGAAGGAGGACATAGCAGAAATTGTTCAGGCCCTTCTCGCAGAGCTTCAGATCAAACATAAAATCCATCACCACAGACAATACCTCAAATTATGAATGCCTGCTATCGGAGTTATATCTCATTCTCAACGTGGAAGTTCAAGGTAGAGATACGGCTGCAAGTGACGCAGAATGCCTACACCTCCAAGGAGGATATAGCTATATCCGCTGCAGTACACACGTACTCAATGTAAATATTAGTAATATGCTTTCTATATTATAATAGATGGCCATACATCAGCCACTACAGCTTGTGATTTTATACAAGAAAACAAAGAGATTAGGCCGCAGTCACCATTGGCCCGCCTTCGAATCTTTAGATTACAAGAACTTCGCAACAGAAACACCAGCAGAAATTCATCTTCCAGAGCAATAGGCTAAAAGACAGATTCATCCAGTATAACATAGAAAGGTATTAGAACACAACACACCGATTACTACAAGATGCAGTAAACACAAAGCCACAGATTAAGAAGTATGTTAAAAATCGGAATTATTTCTGGCCTTTCACAATTAAAGATTGGGATCTTATCTAACAGACAAAGGGCTTTATAGCAATATCCAAGGAGTTCACCCTCATAATTTCCAAGAGTGAACCACAAATTACCTTAGCGATTCCCATCTACTATTAATTACACAATATGCTCTATGACGCCAAATCTAGGAAGAGGAAATTCTCGACGCTTCACCCAGAGATATCTGTAGCTGCAGCTGCCTCTCTCAAAAGGTTTCAGAGATACTATAACCTCATGGGTGGACAAGACGCCTACTATGTCGCAGTAGTTCTTGATCCGCCTTTTGATACGCTCTTGCTAGATAGAGAACTTGGTAAGGGCATAGCTCATAATGTTGTCACGCATATCAAAGAATTGCAGCATGAGCAATACCGTTGATACCAGAGTCGTCGACAAAGCCCATGCGGAGCAACCCGGAACGCAAAAGATCATAGAGAGGCTCGTATAATTCAGAGGTTGCAACCTAAGAAGAGATACTCAACTGATCGTGACCGGTATTGTGAGGACGATATCGTAATGATAGATGGGGCAACCTCACAAGGCAAGAACTGACTTTCATCATGGTGAAGCGCTCAATCGAACAAATATCCCCAGCCGGCTGCTGCTGCTAGAAATTTACGGTATTCGAACAAACATTCGTAATGTGGTTATTCGTGTGCGCCCCTGCATTTGTCCACTCGAAACACGATCTGCACCAGTATGGAGTTCTGCACGATTGAAGTGGACGGAAGGAATCTTTAATGGACTGTCTAAACTTTCGTCGGTTAGTTTAAGCAAAAATAGTGGACCCACGAGCTGTTGTGCCTTGCCCATCAGGCAACAAAGAAATAACTGATCCCGATTGGGACAAGCTGTAACTTAGTCCTGACATATTGCGTCATTGACACGTTGGTCTATCTGATTGTGGCAAATGTCTATGCAGAAAGCCTGTCAGATGCGGTTTATATCGTGTTCTTGTTCACATTTGAATAAAATCTCACAATGGAACCAGGAGACAAAAAATCATGTTCCGTGGTAAGATTTTCTTTGTCTTATATCGAACAGAAGTGCTAACCACATTCTCCCAGCCACCCTCTGGATGTGAAAAGACTCACAAGTTCAGCACATATGAAAAGCGGCCTCATGGAGATCTACTCGGAGAACAATCCAAGGTATTTGTGATGCAACTTTATGAAAGGAGTTTCGACTGACAACCAGAAGAATCGCACTTACTTTGACTCTGGTGATCTGGCTCTTTCCGCGGCTCATAAAGTAACAAATGAAGGTGCTATTCAAACTGGAAGAGCCCACCCCCACCGCGAGAGTATTTCCCACCCTTATTCCGCGGTGCCTAACACCAGCAATGTTGATAAAGATGCCAACGAGGACTTGTACAGGAATAAGAGCTTGAGCCCCGAAAGACGAAGTCCTCCCTACCAGGATGCGAATATTAAGCATAAGAGCCCCATGAACAAGGAGGATAAGGGAGAGTTTGATAATATCGCACGTTAAGCCTGGTTATCTCACACATTGAAGTCACTTGCACTTTTCTGATTGAGCTTCTGATTGAGACTGTTGCGTTGAAGTTGAACAAGTAAAGCAGTGTCAATTTAGACACGAAGCAGCCGAAAAAGTCCTGCCAATGAAGGTAGCAGAAAATAGCGAAGCGATTGAAGCGACCGAGGGAGATCGGATGGCACTATGAACGGGTTGGAACAGCCTCGTATGCGAGCGGGGATTCAGGGCGATGGGAGAATAATATTTTTGCCACACGCTTTCGCCAATGGAGGTGTTCTTCTCTATGGTCGAATAATTTCCACCGAGCGTGAGAGTAAAGGAAAAGCGTTCGAAAAGTTGGAGGAGAACTAGGAGAGAGTCAGTTGGTGACACGGGCAACCCAATCCGTTCAAGGGCGGAAAATGCCATCTACGACGTGACACCCGAACTTATTTGGCCTCTTGTAGCTAGCTCCCTCTTGAGCTTCGGCAGTCCCTTTTTGACATCTACTGAGTACTAGGAGAGAGTCAGTTGGTGACACGGGCAACCAAATCTGTTCAAGGGCACAGAATGCCAACTACGACGTGACATCCGAACTGCAACTAGCTCCCTCTCGAGCCTCCGCAGTCCCTTTTTGAAATCTACTGAGTACCATCTTTATTATACTTTATTTCACACCTCGTCAAGTTAAAATTTCTGCATATGCCTGCATGTTTAGCCCGGTTTTACGAACCTTGTTGTCATTTCAGAGGCACTAAACGAGGCTATATATACGATGAGAGGATCAAGCTGATTTCCAATCAACTGGGATCTTAGTATAGACACATGGGGATTATGTTTGGTGGTGCGGCTCCGTTCCGGATCTGCATCAGCCTCATATCACAAGGGACACAACGGCGCGTGTGTCGGGTTGCTTATATTGATAGCTCTTGGCTGGAGCACATCTGCTGCAGCTTCACTTATATCCCATTACTACGAATCTGCCCGATTCTCTCATCCTGTCTTGGCTCTCCATCCCTGGTATGCCCTCGGGATTCCCTGCACTGTGGGTGGCATGGCCTATTTGAGAACCGACCGACGTCATTCCTATTCCATCCCCCGCCTACCAGCTTTCCAAGTTCCGATTTCCCCCAAGCTACAGCTTCCCATCTCTACCTTTAGAACATCTACCTACTCGTATCTCTCATGATGGCTGAACCGGAAATGCAACATGCTCACCGATTGTCGGCTGACAACCAAATCGTCTCGAAGGCTGAGATTCCTTTGAAAGAACGTTTCTTCCGTTACTTTCAACGTGAAATCACTGGTATAGTCCGATCCCCATTAATCCAGAAGCATATCCAAGAGCACGTGCCATAAGCAGGAAGTGATAATACTGATACTCTTCTTTTAGCTTTGCAGGGGAATATCGATGGTTTCGCTGATACAACGCTAGTCGGTGGTGGGCGCGCCGATGTCACAGATCACTGTCGAGCCGGAATCGTGCGGCTGTCCAATGAAGTCAGTGATGCAGCGAGCTACATTCCTACATATGACCAGAGAGTCTATGCAGAGGTGCGCAGTGTCAAGAATATCACTGCATGGGAAGTTGTGCTTACCTAGTCAAGGCAATCAAAGCCCTGCAGAACAAACTGAATGAGACATGTCCCGTATCCGAACCTCGGTCGCAGTTCAGCTTCAAGACCAAGCAGAATGACTCCTCCATCTCTCTCTCTGACGCCGCTGCTTTGGCCACTGAAGGTCGTCGCAGTACCCCGGGTTACCGCTTCCCAGGTACATCGTCCATCGGGTCTTCTGGCAACCAAACTCCGAGTGACCCATCTACCCCCTTCAATGAACCAGACAAACAGCGGCAGGAGTGGCCAGAAGTTGAGCCAACTTCATTCCCGGTAATCTCGCCCACGGAGGTGCTGGCTAAATCTCAACTAGAGTCGGAGCCTGTCCCGGCATTCGCAGCTAGTGGAGTATCCTCTGTGTCTGTTGACAATCATCACAACCTCCACATCATGCTCCCGGCTTCTGGTTCAACGTCTACGGTTCCTGCATCCATAACCTCTCTGCGGCATTGTATCATTGACATGACGATTCCCACCGCAGACGGGAAGCCTTATGCTAGTCTGACCGTCAAGGGCGTCCGAGAAAGCTTGCTGATTTGCGGTCAAGTAAATGGACCAGCGTATATGACCGGGGTAGAACACAGTATAATTGTGGTTTCATGCCGCCAGTTCCACATGCACCACTGTACCGACGTCGACGTCTACATCAGCTGCTCGAGCAATCCCATCATCGAAGACTGCTCGAATGTCATGTTTGGCCGAATACCAAAGGCATACGTAAGCTTCGCATTCTACTCTCTTCCTGAAAATCCATTCTAATGCTCCTATCTAGGCCCTGAACCATGACCACCTTGATCATCAAGACCACTGGAATGAGATCGAGGATTTCAAGTGGGCTAAGCCTGAGCCCAGCCGGAATTGGGGCCTTCTGGGCCCTGGCGACGTGGTTCCGGAGGAAGTCTGGGCCGAGATCGTTCCAGGTGGGCCGGGATGGTCCCTGGAAGATATCCTTCATGCCATAAGATTGGTCAAGACATGAAGTATCTCCCGAGTGTATGGTACAGCCGGCTGGAAAGGTTCTGTTCGAATTAGCAGTTCCTCTTCTTTGATTTTCACATCTTCGGCATCTTTCATTTTTCGTTACTCTTAATACACACTTGATGCGTCACAAAGAGTTTACGTTCTTTACCATGTTTATTTCCAAGACATCGGGCGTTGCGTCTAGGTCATTTTATGATTCAGGCCCACGCCTCGTTCATTCTTCTTAATTATTTTATGGAGCAACTGAAGTGATGATTCAAATCTAGGTCGTCTATGTACTAGGTGGGTATGGAATAAAAAGTCCAGCTGCTTTCACATCTAAGTAGCAACCAAGTCGGGCCCTGTTTAAGTCTTGACATGTACAACGGGGACTCGATTATCCAAATTGGAACCAGAATCATCGATCTCATCGATCTAGCGGAACAAAGTTAGTAACCAGCTCCTGGAAAACTTGAACCGGATCACACTACCAATTACCATCCTATGTAAGTGAATCATTGCAGTATCACTGAAGTTGATGAGAATATACTCTTTCCACTCTTTCCGTTTAACAGGCACAAGGACCAAACTGTTCCACTTCTCGTTCCACGGGAAATTATACTGCGGGCTAGCAATATGCACTCCAAACTTAGACAGCCCCTTATCAACATTATAGTGCAAAACGGTGTCTGGGATATACATGAGGCATAGACGCTAAGTGGAGGAACGGACCCACATGGTGCATCCCGGTTCCCCTGAATGCGAGGAAGCTGTCTTTCTTTTGCTTCCTCGCGCTGCGTCTTGTATCTAGAGTCGACTTTAGCTTTCATTAATATTGATCATTCATTGGAAAGACAATCTCCTCATCAACAGATACCTGAGACCCTCACAGGGTATTGCTGATAGGCTATTTGATTATGGTAAATGCAATGGTAGGCTCAGGCTCCCAGGAGCTCATAGCCACATTTGGACCAATCATTTCTAATGAGGCTTTGTGGCACTTGTGGACCAATCATGGCACCGATTGGTTCATTATTCCTCCGTATCAATATTTACAACCCACAGGCTCCTGGGAGCCAGGCCAATTATCAACCAATCATTTCATTGGAGACTTACGCGCAAGTGAGTCTTTGGTGACACTAATTGGCTGATGTTTCCTTGTAGTAGTAAACATCTTCCCGTGTCCACTTAGCACCCAGGAGACCAATGTAAGTATTGCTATACGCAAAAGACGAGGTCGATAGCAGAAACAATTGTTCTGCGAAAAAATAATCAATCTAGTGACTCGCTAACTATACAAGGAGCTCTTTCGCGAGATGTGGGCTGTGCGAATCAGTCCCACGCTGCACAATAGCTTGTATCTGCCTGATATTGTGTAGGCGTAATGGATTTTCTCCGATATACGACTTAGGCAACGAAGAATCCTGCGGCTTGGCTGGTAGGGATCTAGGGTCGCAATATTGCATGGTGTTTGCCTGTCTTTGATGAGGTGTTCGTTGCGTGGAGTAACGGGCTCATTACTGGTGAGTGAAATGATATGACATGACCTCGTCGCCTCAACCGTCGCATAAAAGGGCGGACTGACGGTGGTGAATGGCGATAACTGTCGTCTGTTCTTTTCTGCGGCATCTTCATGACTGTTGAAACCATGCCAACAACCAGAAAATATTTTTCATGTTCTTGATCACCAGGAACAAAATGCAATGTCTCTGAGAGCTGCTTTGAATCAACGATGAAATGTTGAGCCAGTTACCATTGAAGAGTAGTTTGTGTTTGAGCTCTCACAATTCATGATGATGATCTCCTTGACGCAGACTGAATGCCTGGCTGAATTGCTATGAATACCCGGTTCGTCACCAGCAGAACCGTCATTCGCAAGCATTCCTTCGTCATTCCGGGTCAAAGAATATCGATCAATTCTCGTTTCCGTGGCTACTATTTGGTATGATGACTTCGAAATCGTGCAACGAAATTGACTGACTTGTTGCGTCGCACTAGACTGGCTTTTCCCGACACAAGAGGTCTTCGAACAGCAAGTGAGTGTAGCTGCCCAGTCATTTGGAATCATGCTAACATAGAAACTGCTCGATATCAGCACCGCCTCCGCTCTCCCTCTGAGAAGCCATTGAACGAACCTTCAGGATCAGGATCTGGAATGGTCTAAGCTGCGAGTACGGTGAGTTACACGTTGCCTTCATAAGCTACCTGCAAATGATTGAAGATAATTAGGTGCCATCCTTTATAAAGTCCCTTGCAGTGGACAGCAATAACTGACAACGTAAGTTTAAAGACTGCAGCAATTTCAAAGGCAGACATCATGTGCTGACGACCCTCTATATAGGATGGCGAACTTTACTATCGCGAGTCGCTCAATGTCTTGTAAGTCACGATAGTGCTTTGACCCTGCCCATTCCCAACGCCCAGTACAGCATTTTCAAT